TCTTTCATTTTTTATATATTCACAACTCTTTTATAATCTTTCTATATATATACAGTATATGGTGTGACGACTAAAAAAATACAACATGAGTAGCGTGTTATTGTCTGTTCGCGTAGCCCAATGGTTATGATGTAGCGTTTTGAACCTTTGCACCCTGGTTCGAGTTAGCCAGATGCCCATTTTTTTTTCCCAATTTTTTTTGGCGTAGTTTTTTTTTCTGTAATAAAAGAACAGTATAATACTACTGTTATTAGTTTTCTTCTTTTAATAATTTGTTTATTAAATTAAAAAAGTGTAAAGAAAAAGTCTGTTTAAATATTAAGGGAAGGTTCAAGATCTCCTGCTATAATAAGACTATTATAAAAGCTACAATCTCAAAATATGTAATATAAGTAAACATATTATAGTTCTAAAGTATTTTTTTTATTATAGTGTAGCAAGTAAAAAAAATAATATAAAATAAACTATTTAGCTGAAGTACAAAATCAATATTTAGTTTTTAATTTTTTATTTTGTTTTTTATTTTTATTATTTTTTTTTTATTTTATTTTTTATTTTGTTTTTTATCTTTATTATTTTTTTTTATTATTTTTTTTATTTTGTTTTTTATTTTTATTATTTATTTATTTCTTTATATTTTATTTTAATACTTTTATTATATTTATAATAAATTAGTATTTCAAAAAAATTGTGAATAAACATATTAATTTTTTTTAGATGAATTGTATTTTCTTTAATATATATATATAGATGATATTTGGCTAGGCTAGAAATATTTGATTTATTTTAATTTTTATCCACCTGCGCACTATACCAAATCCCGGCGGCCATCTAATCGTAGCATGATTCAAACTCCGAAAAATTCTAAAGGCCGACAATGCGCCTCTAATGCCACTTTTCTGTTACTCGTCTTTATTAGCTATTGATAGAGCCAAGAAGCATATAAATACAATCAGTAGAAGTCGAGAAAAGTAGAATTATATGAATTTTATTTTTTGATAAAATATTGATTTCTCAAAAAAAAATAAAAAAAAATAATATTATAAATGCCGACTGAAACCAACATTATTTATTTATTTATTTTTTGGTATCTTGCATGCCCTTTAACCGAGGCGACAGATTGTTTAAATAATCTCAATTACAAGAGGTATATATATATATTTAATATTCTTTATATTTTCTGTTGAGAGGTTGAAAAGCTGTAAAAAAATATTTTCAATGCAGTCATTGGTGCAATGATTCCGGTTGAGGAATGAGGACAGGGGGTTTTTTTCAAGCAGAATAAACAAAAAAATACTTTTTATTTATATATTTATTTATTTATTTTATTTTTTTATTTTTCTTCTGTGTGCATCTCTTTCAATAACCATACATATTCACATTAACTTGCCATGAAGGTTACATTTGAAATTACTACAATCATACACAGGCGCACATGTACGCACACATGTATTTTATCGAGAACATCTCTAAAAATATATTATATTTGTTAAAAGCGCAACCTTTCACCAAGACCACGAGCAAGTTTTGATATGTACCAACTAGAAAACAATTACTCGCATTCTCTTTGTATGATAAAGCCACATTATTATGATTTTTTTTTGCGTTATGTAATTTTTATGCTCGCTGTGGTATATATCGGCAAAAATAGAGGTAATCGATATATACATATATATATATGAAATGGTAAATAATAAGAAGAGTTGGCGTGTGCAATAATAATCACCGGTTTTCATTAGTCGGTTTATACCTTGATCGAAAAATATACTTTTATTGTAAAGGTTTACTACTCATAAGAAAAAAATAGTAAGAATAGCACCTGTAATTATTGCTATTATAGAAAACATGTACAAAAGAAAAGCTTCCATTCCATCTTAGGTCGAGTAAGGATAAAGGTGCGCTACAAACCAGAACCGAAAGTCAACTTATCGGTGGGGCAGGTTTCTGTTTACAAATAAATGACTTTTATATATTGTATACGCTTCTTGGGATAATTCACGGTTATTACAATGGTTCAAAAAATATAACACAATATTCTTAACTAATATGAATTTTTATTGTGAAGAGAATTTATTTGGAGTGAGAATAGTATCTGTGATGGCACAATAAGTCAAACCTGTTTTGTAAAGAACTTAAGGATAAGTAGTTTCACCACAGAAAGTCAACCGGTTTTTTTTAAAAAAGGAAGAGAACCAGAAAATCATAAAATCACAAGGTAAAATATAGGACTTGTCTACCCCAGGGAAAATATGTATGAACAGGCAGTACGTATCGCAAGAGAGGTAGACGATTGGCTTATCCCCTGTATGACATGGCTCAATAAATAAAAAAATAAATAATATTTAAATTTTGAGCCACAACAATTAAACGATGCTTTTCCCCAATTTGATTCTTTGTCTAGTTAGAATTTTGAACGATTGCAAAAGAGTAATAAAAATAAATAAGTTATACAGCCATGGTAATGTATTTTAAGAGGTTACAACCATTTACTTCATGGAGGCCAAAGTGAGGATCGATAACTCCCAAATATTTTCTCTCATTCGCGTTCATTGTCAACTAAAATACCTTAGCCTCATCCCGCACATCAAAGGTATCAACCATTTTCTATTCTCATTATTGTTATTCTATACTGCAGCTGTACCCTTCATCACGCGTTTCTTCACTCTGCACAAGGGTCGATGTATTTTGTTTGATGTTAAAAAATTATCTGTTTCTATAGGTGTTTCTATGTGTTCTCTAATCCTTTTTTTAGGAATCAGAGATCTATTGCACTGAATTTAAAAAGAAAGAGAAAGAAAGAATGACAAAGAAATTGGGCTGTCTAAAATTGCACCCAACTCAAACTAACTCTTGGTACAGTTGGCGTTTGTGTGCGTGGATAAACAATATAAAAGAAAGAAATAACTAATTGCCTTTCAATATTAGCGAAATCGTTGCTATTATGGTAGACGATGAGGACTGTGGTGGTATATGAGTTTTGGTTAGGTGCAACTGTACTAATATTATTTTGTTTTTTTCGGCAGTTGTTTTGTGTTGGCAGTTTAATTATTTTCATGAAAAATGATAAAATGGTAAGAAATATAAAAACTTATAAATCCAGTGTTATTTGATTATGTACTGGGTCCGATTGTTTTGCGTGAGTGCGGGTGTGTGCGGGTGTGTGCGGGTGTGTGCGCAGAATGGTATCCTTTGATGTACCATATTCATTTATTTACGACCAAAACCGATAATTTCTTATGTATACCCATCCGCCAACTAGTCGAAAAGTTTAGTAGCAGTACTCCTAATGATCTGCACCAGTGCTTATTTCCATGTCATGTAAGACACATTAGTATAAAAATACGCCTTTCTTTTTCTTTTTCTTTTTCTTCAGCAGCCACTTGAACGTGAAGTATATCGACCAACTCGGGTGCCTTGAAAACTGTAAAATAAATATGAGACTTTTCTTGCTAATTGCCTTGTAAATATTTTCGCAATTACATTTACTGTTCTCTACAAGAGCCTATCTGAAAACAAATATAATATTTCTTGCTTTAATTAGAATTGTGGAGGCTCAATTAGCATGAAAAACAATATTCGACTGTATAAGTATAATTTCTTGAAGACGTCGAGTATATTTGAATCTGGGTATCACATACAAGAACTCTGTTTTTTTTCTTTAAAATTAAATACAATAGAAGCTGTTAATAAAATAAGTTAATATAAAGAGTACATAATGATAGAGAAAAACGAATACGTATTTCTATACTGTCAAATATATACACGGTTCTGTCGAGTACTATCGTGGTTACTATTTGATTTTTTGAATTCAAGACATTAGAGTTACAAAGTACTTGTGGCGTCCATTATAATATCTTGGGTTGGTAATATAAAACGAAACTCACTGGTATCGAGAGCTATATCATTACGAGATAGTAAAATGCGTACTTAGTGATGTACTTTGGCGTACTTTCCCTGCCTACTTTAAACTCGTGTTTTAATAATGATTATCGTGTATTTCCGTACTTTGGTAATTAATATTATATATATATACCAACGCCTTTTTTTGTTAAATATCGAAATTGAAAGGGTTGCTCTAACAAAAAGATCAGATGATTGACTGTTGAGACTTGACCGAAACTTACAAACAATTAGTGTGCTAGATGTACAATTAATAATGATATTTATAATATTATAATCAATCTTACTCACGGGTATTTTAATCAAGATTATTACACCCAAAAGTATTTTACTCAAAAATATTAAAGGCACCCAACAAGTGTTGTACTTTTAAATTGAACATTATTTGAATAGTAGTTAAAGTATTGCTGCCACGAATTGTCAAGCATCGATAGCTAGTAAAACCCTTATTGTCATTATATTAAAAGAGATATATAGAATTCAATTTGTAATTCTTACTAATAGAGACCGTAAGCTTAGTAGAGTTAATTACATTGATAATAGACTGATATATCTCAATAACCAAGACCAAAAAAAAATTGTATAAAACATATTTTATTTTTATTTTTATTATTTTAGATAAAGGTACTTCTTTTAGATTTCCTGAAACCGCCACACATAGTATACTTTTTTTGAGAGAAGACAAACCTTTTCAATTCGAAAAAGAGTATGAGACTGAGACACCACTATCGTCATTTGACAATAACTATCCGGATTAAAGTGAGGAGTCCAACGATGAGAATGAATCTGGCATTGTCGGTGTCATAGTATTTAAAGATATGATGGATTCAGGTATGCACCTATTGAACAAAGAAATATACATAAATCATATTACAGATAATAATGATACTTATCATAACACTTGCCTTTTTGTAATCCCATATTTGAAAATGGATGTAATTCCTCAAGTCACTCAACTAATGGCTCTATTTGGTGTGATCTTTCAAGCGTTTTACTTGGCTCAAGCAAAGAGGATCTACAACACTGAAATTATTCCAATACTTTCTTGTTACCTATGAGAAGGATACTGATCCCCATGTCACCGTGATGTATCGAGAATCATGTCTGGATTCGATCTTATGACAAAAACCGTCTTCAAGTACACCATCTGTATCAAACGTGATGTCATATACTTACCAGGGTATCATCAATCCAACTGTTCCTCCGAGAAGCACATTCCACCCCATCTATCTATGACAGTAATTCTCTGTATGCTGGTCCAGCAATTGAGAAGCCAGTTCCTCTCATAGTATTTCTTTACAGCTTACGGAGAAAATATATTGTCACAACATTTCCACAAAGTCAGGTCCGATGAGTAAACCGTGCACTAGGGATCAAGCAAAACAATAGAAAGTACGATGATGCAATTTAGATTGATATGCTCGGTGAAGCTGACGAGGCCTTTGTAAATCATGCCCATTCTCTCATGTTGACATTGAATGTGTATTGGTTTAAGCTGTTTGAAGGCCGGACCTATACAGGCGGTGCTTTGTATTTACTTATCAACAATTTCCCCAAGGAAGACCAAATGAGACCAGAAAATATTATCCTCGTTGATGTCATGCCTCGTCCAAAGGAAGTAGAGGACGACTAGATCGACAGCTTTCTGGAAACACTTGTTGATGGGATAGTAGACTGTTATGGTGGTATAGCTGTGAAGACTACCAAGTTCCCTAATGGTACTACTGTCTACACTGCTATCATGTGTGTTGCTTCGAACATACTTGCTGCTAGCAATGCTGTCGGATTCAGGGGACATCCAATCACAAATGACTGTCATAAATTTAAACGATACTTCTCTGCGATTATTGGATCGAGTAAGATCGATTACGTCGGGGAGACTATGAAAGCTGGGTGTCACAGACAAAGGAGATGAATTCCATATATACCAATATGTGGCTTTGCACAGAATCAGATGTAGAAAGAGGAGATTTGGAGAAGCAGAGCGGCATGCAGTTTTCAGAGTTGCATCGCTTACACGATTGTTGATCTCTCGCACAATATATTTCTTGTGATAGCAAACCATATGGTCAGCGTTTGAAATGGTTTTGTATTTTTCCGCTGCCGTTATTGCTCGTGTTCAATGTTTTGTTGATGGTATTATTGTTCCTCATGAATGTGCCGTCTTGTTCGAAAAAGTCCCATCTGGGTCCTCATATATGAAAGCAGGCGAGTGGCGATCGTGGTGTCTTGTGCACTTGCTGGTGGTGTTGAAGGAGTCTATGTCCAAAAGCGATTGCAATAACTGGACCACCCTTGTCAAGACATATCGAAAGTTGAGAGATACATATGCCACATACTCAAATATAGGCGACGCACGCCAACTCCTTGGTAAATTTGGGAAATAGTCTCAGTCTTTACGAAAAAAAGGAATCGCATCAAATATGCATTTGCATTTGCACTTGCGTGAGTCGATGCTTGACTTTAGTCCGGTCTATGCATTTTGGATGTATAGCCTTGAGAGGTACAATGATAAGTTAAAAAAAAACTTTAAGACAAACTGCCGTAATGGTCTTGAGGTGACATTAATGAGCGTTTTCCTGGAGAAGGCGTGTACCAGCACTTTTCTTCGTGTGTATTCCGCTAATATTTTGCTCCATATGATAAAATCTCCCTAAGGCGTTGCGCAAGTGCTATCTGAATCTCATATATCGTGTCTTTAGTGTATTGATAATGGCCAATCTCCTTCATTGCCATTCAACCTCCCGATGTTTCAGCAAGTCGTCAACAGTCAATGGTACAATTTAATCGGAAGTAAGGCGTTACCACCAACTACCTTGCCATTGAAGTCACAACCTTTGAATACGATGAGGTGTGATTAATCTCAATAGCTATTCAATTTCTATGTCAAGGCTTACCAAAGTATTTTTTTTCTGCGTTGTGGGAAGTATCCAACTTGGTGAGTGTGCTGGTAAACATTCGCATTCAGAAGATGAAGAATATCTCGTTGCTTGACCAGGAGTTATTGAGTGGAGAGAGGACACATTGTAGGTACATTGTGCGGGTTGTTGTTGTTGTTTGTTTGTTTGTTTTTTTTTTGGTAAGACAGCTGGCGACATCTCTAAATTCCCCTGGTCAGATTGAGTATATATATTTACTTTTTAGGTCTTGAAAACAAACGATCAGAGTCCAAATTTTTCCAGTGTATAAGAAAAATACACTACATCTTCCTTATTATCACCTTTCTCTACAATACCAATAATCCTTCAAATTCGTACTCATGAATTACATTTGTAGCTTACCTTCAATTACTTTTCATTCTATCTTCTGACCAAGTTGCACACACAACAAACTCAAAATGCATCACTGTATCCAATATAATTGCGAATTGAAAAATAGTGCACAGATACTCAAGATAGAGTCTTATTAAATAAGCAATCATTATTAAATTATATTTTGTTTATGCTATAAATATGTACAAAATATACTGATAGAAAGGTCGAATATTCAAATTTACAGCACTTATTATCAATAATAGAGAAAACAGACATTGCATGATATACTCTTAGCATCACTCAAACTTCAATATCTATATAGACGTATAATATGAATAGCAACAACAGATCGTCTTATTCTCTTTTCTTTCAATAAAACAAAGTCTCCCCACATATCTCACCTGCACTTTGTTTTCCAATATTAAAATATAACACATACAAATTAATACTTTGAAACTGTTTATAGACTGTCTTTATGAAAGAACAAAAAGCTTTCTTTTTTATACAAAAACATAAATTGACAAATTTTTCAAAAGTCGTTTCGAAATGCGATAAAGCGTCTTGAAGTTATTCTCTACACCATCTTTATCATTCAGATTGGGGTGGTTGATAGTCCATTGGCCGTAGATCTCTTGGTCACCACGTCTACGAGCGACATATCGTTCTTGCATAATAAATAGGTGTCCCATGTAAATCAAGAAGGATATGTCGTTATTCACCAGCCTGTCTGCTTTCAAAGCTTGTTCCAATATAAATACATTAATAATAGAGATGAGCTCTACTATTGACTGGTGATCGTTTTCTTCGTATAATCTTTGTTTGAGAGACAGCTGGATCTCGCCTAAATATTTTTCACCTGATTCTTTATCTTAAGGCTCGTCATGTTCAAAATAGGTATTGGAGCTCTTAGTGGCTTCTGTTGTAATCAACTGTACTAGATCCATTTTAACTTCGGACAATTTGACAGGTGAAAAGCTAAGATGTGTAGATGGCACTGTTTAAAGTAGTTCATATGTAGTTTTGCTATTTAAAAATAAAGACAGAATAAACAGCCGTTTTTTTCTTTTCTTTTCATGTATTTGATAATGATTATATATATTAAGTATATCTATTATTACAACACGGGTACTTTATGATGTGGGCAATATCTATGTTCTCTAGTATTATTTCTTGATAAATAGCTATGAAATCTATCAGGCATTTTACTTGAATTGCATGAATTTATTTCTCCTTTTTATTACATACAGTGAATGTAAATAAAGCATATGACCCTATACTGGTCTTTGATTCCCTTTACCTAAGAACAAGAACAAGAATAAATTTCTTTCGTTCTTGAATGATTCTTGATATTAGGTAACTCACAGCGGAGTGTTTTCTCGGGGAACAAAGAAGAAGAAGAGAGAGAGATATAAAAGCAAAAAGAACAGCTTGATATATATTTTTTTTTATTTTTTTTTAAGGTGTGGAGCTATTTGAATACAATCTAGTAATAATATTAATAAATTTTTGGTGATCGCAATACTGTAGCTATGCTTGCCTTATATAACCGTGCCCTGACAAAACGTCCTATTTTAGTTCAAAGCATCTCGACAGGTAATGAGCATTTCTTGATTTAATGAGCATCTAAACATATTTAACTAATCGCTTTTCATCAATAGCACTACTTTTTGGGGCAGGTAAATTTGCTATACAGCAAATACTATGTATATAAAAAAAGTATTTAAAGAAGAAATGGGTGCAATTGATTGTAGGTGATGTAATTGCACAACAGATTGTCGAAAAGAAAGGATTCGAACAACATGACTTGAATCGAACGGCACGAATGACAGTATTTGGTGGTGTGGTAGCAGGACCAATCTTGAGTACATGGTATCGATTTGTCGAACTTAACGTCAAGGCATCTACTCCCTTGAGAGGTCAGAAATATTGGTTCATTTGATTATTATTACTATATTTTTTTGTTATAAAAAAAAGCACGCACACACACATATACATATAACTTATATAAAATATGTGCAAAAGGACTTATAACCAAGGTTGCTATCGATCAGTGCTTGTTTGCCCCTGCCTTCATTGGTGGTAAGCTGCTGTTTCTTAGAAAGAAAGAGGTGTCCTATTATAGCATTTATTGTTCGATTTATTTTTAATGCCAATGTTTTTATACATTATAAATGTCGATAAATCAATCAAATAAGTATTCTTCTCGGCCCAGGGATTATTTGAGGGTAAATCTGTTGAGGAGATCAAGCATAAGCTACAAACAGGCTATCCAACTGCTGTAATTAGCAACTACAAGGTATATTGAACGAACTGCGACTTGTTTGATAAATCACAACTAATGTGTATATAATGTAGCTTTGGCCAGCCGTCCAATTCTTCAACTTTTACTTTATCCCATTGAACCACCGTCTGATGGTTACTAACCTGGTTGCCTTGGGATGGAATGCTTATCTTTCCACAATCAACCAGCGCTCCTCTACCTCAAAAGATACCCAAAGCCCACCAACATAGAATAATGAAAGAAAATCATAAAATGTCTAGTCCTCCTAAGCTTTGAATTAAACAAATAAAATATCATTAATGTAATTTATTATATTAAAAGAGAGATTGATTGATTGATCCACAGCTTATCATGAAGTGAAATATATATATATATATGCGTGTTTGTGTTTGTGTGTGTATGTGTGTATGTATATATATAAAAGTGTAGTTTATAAAGATGGCATCTCTGCTGTACCAGTGCCTTTGATTTCCGGCACTCCCACTTTGATGTCTTCATAGGAAACAACTCCTCTGGTTTTTATCTACACATAAACACCAACAATTAAAAAGATTATTAGCCAGCTTCACACATTTCAAGATTTTGTTATAACTCTTTTTTTGTTTGTTTTACCTTTCCACCCAGCAACCCTACACAAGAACCACACGGTGCTGATGTGCCTTTCAATGCCTTTTTAACGGCCTCTGTTTCAACAATTGGTTTAACCTTTCCGGCACAAAGAGGACAAGCGTATTTGGCCTCCTCGTCGTCACACAGACTTTGATACTTCTCGGGTGTCAGGGTCTCATCGCACTTTGTGTGGATCCAGTAGTCACACGAATCGCATGTAACCATTTCGTTATCCTCTTCATCGTTCTCGTCTCCCTCTGAAAACGTTTTTAAGCAGACTGGACAAAATCTGCTCTGTTCAAAATGCTCGTAGCATCGTGTACAGTAAGTTGCCAGGTAGGCAGCTTTATCATATAGTTTACTCGGCGGAGCCGTTGCATAGTGGTACTGTGTGTGGTCAGTATCATCCTTTTGCTCTCCACAACTGTGGCATTCTGCACAGAGTCGGCAAAGCCATGAACCTATTATATATTTATTTTAAAAGCTCTAATACATGTACACATATTATCAGTTATCTCTTTAACTCTTTACCTTCTGGAACTTGGCTAATCTCTGGATTACAGCTATGTATAGGGTTATTTTAAATAAATAAAAAAGCCGCGTATTCTATCAATTTATCTCTCTCTTTTTTGCCTGTTTTTTTTAGGAAAAGAACAATTTGTGCCTTACCATCCTGTGTGCCAACCTCTATCACATCCATCACAAATCATCAGAGTTGACTCGTCTCCTGCACTCTTGCACACGCAGCACACCTTGCAGTCTGGGCATGACCACGGATAAGACTCTACGGCAGCCACTTGTCGAGCAGTAGTCAGATGAACACACACAGGATGGTATTTCTGTGTGCATTTTGCGCACTTTACTAGCGTGAACTTGTCGCTTACTGGCATATCTTGTGTGGCTAATATCTCATCAGATGCTTCTACCTCATGACAGTCTGAACAAACTTGACTAGGACTAACGGTTGGATCAACCTACATGCCCATTCACACACACACACACACACACACACACACATATATATATATAGATTCAACCAGGTCAAGAAAAAAAAACAGAAAAAAAAACACAAAACAAAATCTACTTGTCAAAAACAAACAAACCACAAAAGCATACACATACACAAAGAGAAGAAGAGGAAGAAGAAGAGGAAGAAATGGGGAAAGAAAAATAATACAAAATGTGCTTATTTACAGCTTACATTGGGTTGTTTGTCAGATAAATTTTTAGGAATAACGAAATGATGGAAGCATCTTTTTCCATGTTGAGTCACAGGTTGACGACACATTCCTTTTGGAGTAGTTGTCCCACAGATAGGGGCTTCTTTTGCAGAAGGCATAGGACGCTTTTATGTATAAGAGAAAAGAGACCAGGAATGAATATTAGACCTATCCAATCGATTGAATCATTTTAGACGCTTACAAATGGAATAGGGGTAGATGAAGGAGAGTAAGTCACTGGGGGCATAGGTGAATGCACTTGTGAAGAAGGGGGGAATGATGACTGAACAAGCTGCCGCTGCTGGTGAATTTGATGGTGAATTTGGTGCTGGTGCTGGTGCTGGTGCTGGTGCTGGCTCTGTTGTTGGTTTTGGTTTTGGTGATGTTGGAGTTGAAGTTGAAGTTGCAGCTGTTGGTTCTGCTGATTTTGATGTTGTTGATGTTGTTGGAATTGTTGGTGCTGCTGTTGCTGGTAGTGTTGGTGCTGCTGCTGCTGTTGTTGTTGATGTTGATATTGTTGATGTTGATGTTGTTGATGTTGTTGATGTTGTTGATGTTGTTGATGTTGTTGTTGTTGGTGTTGGTGGTGTTGGTGGTGTTGGTGTTGGTGCTGCTGCTGCTGATGGTGATGTCGAACTACTGGAGAAGAATATTGCATGGGTACCGAAAAGTTTGGATATTCATTATAGCCTCCCATATTTTGACCAGCTGCTTGGTACATTTGGCTCAAATAGTATTGCTGAGTTCCAGGAGCATGAGCGGCAGCAATCATAGTTGAAGGCGATACTACTTTAGGTTTGATGTGGCCAAAGCGTAGAAAGTCACTACAGATATATAAGGAGAAAATAAATATATAGATATATAAATATATCAGCAATTATAGTTTGGTTATTGTTGGTAAGAAATCAGCTGTCAAATTACACTGGGAACTCTGTTTGGTGTTGGCCTTCGGTTATGGCAATGGGATAATTTGTGGTAGGTTTGGTTTGGGAAATGTGAGATTCTACACAAAGAGCGGATCGCATATCGTTCATAATTTTTTCAACTTCCTGTCTTGCTTCTTCGGAAAGGAGTCCCAATGCAACTGTTGATGTAGGGTCATTTTCTAGTAAATACTGGCCAAATCCACGCAAAGGTGACTCTGGCGATGAATTAAATTCTAGTGAGGAATCCAACATTTCGTCTTCATTGACAGGTTTAAAGATGCACTTCTTGGGTTGTGTTGCGGCTGGTAATTGCCGAGTATTGGTGTGAATATCAAAAAATGCAGGTTTCTCTACACGTCTTTCGTAAAGTTGGGCGTTGAATCCTCGGACAGCTAGGGCAGCGTGGTGCAGCCAGGTTGCCCCGTTGATGGGCTGGACTGTCTTGTAACTCTCTACCGCAACAGATTGTTTGGACAAAAGCGACCGTCTGCCGGTTTCCTTTTGATCCGACACTTGCTCTTCAGACTCAATATCCATCTCTTGATTTGCCTCTTCCCTCGCCTTTGTCTCAAAGTAATCGTCCTTATATTTTTTACCGTCCTTTATAATCTTTGATCCGAAGCACTTGAATACCGACCGGGCTGTCACTACTGCTACGTCGCGATTCCTAAACCACGTCACCAGCAGGCGTTCCTTAACCAAGTACCTTTTTTCATCTTCAGTGATCCGTACTCGTTCTAGCCGCGGGTTTCTGTGGAAGAAGAGATAGCTGTCGCGATATCCAAGCACCTTTGCTGGATCCATGGCCAGCATAAACAGACGATCGCCACGCAATGGCAATGTAAATGAAGACACACGATATTTACGCCCTATAGTATAGTATATTATATATATATACGTGGATGCACATATTGATTAACTTGGATTGATACCCAAACACACAAATATTTATCAAACCTTGAAGTAAATGTCCATTCTTGTCGACCTTTTTTTCACCTGCTTCATCAAGTTCGCTTTCACCTCCATCGCCTGTCTCGACTTCTGACACTTCGGGTGTGTCTTCTTTTACTCGCTTAATCATTTCCTCACTGGCTCTTCCACGAGTCCTAGGCCTTCCTCGTTTTCGTAATCTCATCATTTCTTCGTCTGTGTCAGTGTCCGACATGTTAACGGTTTGTTTGTCTAAATCATCAGTCTCATTTTCCTTTTCAGGTTGTCGTCTTCGTGGAGGGCGTCCTCTTCGTTTTCTTGATGCTACAGATTCTAGTTTTTTACAATCATTGGAAAGGATTGATGAGCAACAAAAATGATAATTGTATATAAATAAAGGGCGTTTTGTGCCATAAAGAAAATAATGATTGCCAATAGAAAAAGAAGAAAAAAAAGTTTAACCAAAGAGATATTTGATATATTGAACTGTATATAATAAGTGCATGTATAATTTTTTAAATAGATTTGATAGATATGTCTTATGTTTCAAGCAAGAACAACAACAATAGAAAGGATAGATCACCTCGTGGACTCATTGGAGTTGGCCAAAGGAAGGGAGGAGTAAAACCATCTACACAACAGAACCATGCGGTGGACTTTTAAAAAGCAAGTCCTTATTTGGCCGTCGGGGTGTTTCCTCACTGTATTGTAAGGTTCATCTTTAGGTGCTTCTTTCTTGTTTTGTTTTGTTTTTCGATGGTAGATTTTCTTTTGTACAAGAACGATTGTCTTTCTTTACCTTTGCCCTTTTTTTTTGGTGGGTCAAAAATGAAATAAAAATATGTGACGAAAGAGAGCAAGAGATTAATATTTTTATTTCATTTTTGGTCTTTAATAGGGAGTTGTGCATTTTAAATTTCGAAAATAATAATAATACATTTTACCGCATTAATCACAACTACTATTTTATATTTCACAAGGTATTTGTCTTTTTTTGTTCAATTTCTGTACATACCCCTTTATATATATATATACCAATAAGGGCCGTATAAAGAGTATGTTGATTTGCTCATGTTTATTTCTAAAATTATTTGTGACTCGAGTCCTCAAGCCTTGATCTCATAATTCAATATATATCTATCTATATACACATATGTATTGTTCCTGTAACTTCTCTCAAATAATCACACATATACACACCTCCAAATCAAATCAAATCAAGGCAAAGCAAACCGAAGTCTTTATAACTTTAACCCAAGATGCTATATACATGCCTATATACAGACATACAACGGATACTATATCTTTATTACCACGGTCAGCTGATCTGTACGTAAACTTTGCTCAAGTTTCCCACGTCTGTTCCGATCTATTGTATCTTGCTCTTTCCTGTTAACATATTTAACATATATACACCTTTTTATTATTATTGATAATGTCCCTCAAGAGCTTTATTTCTGTCCCAAAGGACTCTCACTTTCCTATCCAAAACATTCCATTTGGTGTCTTTTCTACTGCTGAAAAGGTAACTACTTACTTTTATACATTTCATGTCAAAAAATGCTTATCGCGTGTCTGGTAAGTCCCCTCGAGTAGGTGTTGCTATTGGAGACCAGATTCTCGATCTCTATGAAGTATCTTCTGCCGGACTATTGGACAATGTCAAGGGTCTCAAGGACCCAAAAGCTGTATTTGGACAAGTATGTATAATGTCAAAGAACCAAAAAAAAAGAGTGATTGTGAGGAGGAGGAAGGTGTAGTTTATTTCTATTGATATTCTATTGCTTTATTCGCTAAACATTTGTCATCATTATTAATATCAACTATTGTGGTCTTCACTATTCAGTCAACCCTAAACACATTCATGTCCTTGGGCCGTCCTGTGTGGAGATCCACGCGTTCTGCTATCCAGGAGCTATTGTCTGAAAAGAACCAGCTCAAAGATAATTCTCAGCTTCTTGGCCGTGTTCTTGTTCCTCAGTCAAAGTCACGTATGCATTTGCCTGCAAAGATTGGGTATGTTGTACATACAGTTAATAATCCTCCTATTTTATAGTTAATTTTTTTTAAACAAAATCCCCTCTTTTTATTTTATTTTATTTTATTGTTCTTCCTCTTGTTCCTGTTCGTCTTTTTCATGCTATTATCTAAATAACAAACCATTAGTGATTATACCGATTTCTACTCTTCTCGTGAGCATGCTACCAATGTAGGTATCATGTTTAGAGGAAAGGATAATGCCCTTCAACCCAATTGGTAAGTTAAACTCTGGCTCTAATAGTAATAGTAGTAATAGTAGTTTTAGTAGCATTGGTGGTTAAAATGGTGCCTAGAGAGAAGAGCAAGTAAATAAAAAGGTATGGACACCAATATATTTTTTTTAAAAAAAATTCTAGGCTCCATCTTCCTGTTGGATATCACGGACGTTCTTCTTCGATTGTTGTGTCTGGAACAGATATCCATCGTCCAGCAGGCCAACGTTTGCTTTCAAAGGACAAGCCTGTACCTTCATTTGCCCCATCTGCCAGACTTGATATTGAATTGGAAGTCGTAAGAATCACTTTATTTTTTATTATATATATATAAAAAGACAAAAGGAACGATTGATACAAAAATTGGTTATTTGGTTAACCCTTTAATATCTTTGCTTAATTTAATGTAAAGCAATTTAATTCAATTTAATTTAATTCACTTTATTATGAATGATAGGGATGGTTCGTTGGCACTGGGAATGAGCCTGGCCAACGTATTGATATCAAAAACGCCAAGGAACACATCTTTGGAATGGTCTTGGTTAATGACTGGAGTGGTAAGTGTAGAGAGGTTGATATCCAAGCTTTACTTTATTATTATTATAAAAAAAAACACGTTTTTGACGGGTAAACTTTATTAAACTCTCCCTCCCCTTCCCCTTTGTCTGTCAATAGCACGCGATATCCAGGCCTGGGAATATGTACCTTTGGGTAAATAAAAATCTATATGATAGATATGCACATGTACACTATACTCACATAATTACCTATATATTTGTATATATATATATATATATATGCATGTATATCTATATACATATGTATATGTCGGCAAAAAAAAAATTAAGGTCCGTTTCTTGGAAAGAACTTTGGCACCACAATTTCACCATGGATTGTTACTCTTGATGCACTCGAGGAGTTTGTCGTGCAGGGTCCAACCCAGTCTCCTGAACCCTTGGCTTATCTTAAGGAAACTGTGCCTTCTGCATATGATGTCAAATTAGAAGTGCATATTAAGCGTAAGGGTCACTTTGTTATATATATAAAGTCAATGCTCATATGATATTGTACACTGTATTACTTGTCTGTATTAGCCGCCGAGTCCACAAAGTTTCAGACTGTTTCTGAGTCCAACATGAAGTACATGTACTGGTCAATCACACAGCAATTGGCACATCATACAGTAGGTGGTTGCAATATGCAGCCTGGTGACATGTGTGCTACTGGTACTCTCTCTGGCCCGGTAAGCTATAGAATAATAATATATATATATAGTTCTTATAACTAATATTGCCATTGCCATTGCCATTGCTATTGCTATTGCTATTATCATTCCAGGAACCCGGTTCTTATGGATCTCTATTGGAAATTACTTGGAGTGGTGCCAATAAGATTCCATTCGATAACGGAGTTGAACGTCTATTCCTTCAGGACGGAGATGAAGTCAATCTAGTTGGATATTGTGACAGTGCTTCTGGCTACAGAATCGGTTTCGGTAATTGCCAAGGAAAGATCCTGCCCTGTCCTTACAGTGCATAAAAGATGAATTTCAAAAATAAAAATAAAACATAAAAGAAGAAGGATCAAAAGAAATTACAGGTAGTTTCTGTGGTTTTCATCTAACAGATTCATTATTGTCCAGGGATTGTAAGAAAGTGAAAGGAGCATAAGAAATAGATAGGAATCCTAATAAATAAACGAGAATGACCCTAGGAATTACTTGAACATGAAGTACGCGGTGATTATATTAAAAGAGAGAGAGAGAGATAATGATTGATTGATTAAAGGCAGTAAGATATCGTGAAATTTGGTTGCTTTCGATTGTACTCTTTTTTGGGTATTTTGTTCAACTCCCTTGACCACCATTATCATTACCATTACCACTATATATATATAAAACATCAATGAAACTTTGAATTGATTATAATCGAAAATACATGTAATTTATCATTCTTTTCTTTTCTTTTCTTTTGCATGTGTTACGGACACCTGTCAAAGGCACTAGTGAATGCACTACTGATATGTAAATAATTTTTATATATATATATAATTTAATAATCCCCGAGAGTGGTTTTGAACATATGGTAGCTAAAATAAAATTCATGTTCTTGCTATGATGGCATTACTATGTCAGACACCATTTAAACTCTCAGGCCCTCAATATCATTAGTAATCACACGTCAGAAAATAAAAATAAAAACTCCTTTATAAGACATTGTTGGCACAATTATATCAGTTACTTTCTTTTACTTCTTTGATAAATACTATTCCAAGCGATAATGTCCTCTTCACCAAGCGCCTATGACGAAAATACAGAGCAGACTGAAGATCGATCGTATGGGTTTCAGTTGGAGTCTGAAATCAAAGCACAAGAGGAAAAGCCTGAAGACTTACCTGAGGGAATGCACTACATAGCCGACACACGTCGCCAGAGCGTTGATCAGAAGCTGTGCCAGCCAGACGCTACCAAATGCAAAGACAGCGGTCGAGAATACCTTCCTATCGAAGACTACGCTATCATTGGCAACTTGCGCACGGTTGCTCTCTGTGGCACCGACGGCTCGATTGATTTCTTCTGTTACCCCCAATTCGACAGTCCGTCAGTGTTCTGTCGCCTTCTGGACAAGGACAAGGGTGGACATTTTTCCATCACGCCGACAAACTACCAGAGCAACCGGCAGCAGTACTTACCGAGCAGCAACATCCTGGCCACCCGCTTCATGTCCGACGACGGTGTGTCCCAGATTACGGACTACATGCACCTACCGACCGTCAATCAGCGTGTGTCGACAAAGCCACTCTTACCCTGGATCATCCGGACCGTCGAGGTGATCCGCGGAACGGTCGAGTTTGACCTGGAATGCTTCCCGGCCTTCAACTACGCCCGGGACACACACACGACTGAGATTGTGGACCACAAGGTCGGTCCGTGCGAAAAATCCCACCTCGAGTCAATGCAGGTCTACCCCGAAGAGAAAACATCGTACTATGCTGGCACAAAAAGGGTGGTCTTTAAGTCCAAAACCCTGACGATGGACCTGCGCCACATCGTCAAATGCGGCGACCTGGAGTGCCCGGCTGTCAACATCACGATCGACAAGGCTGGGCTAGTCTGCTCAGGCCTAAAGGGTCCCGGAGCCCGGTCAAGGTTTACACTTCAGGAGTCGCAGCGGGCCACCTTCATTTTCCGCCAAGTGCCCGAACAAGTCTCAGACGATGCCGACATAGTCGAGAAAAAGCATCATCTTGCGATCAATCCGCCCCTGACAGCCAGTCTGATGGAAGCTCTGTTTAGACAGACTGCGACATACTGGCAAACCTGGGTTGAGAGCTCTATCTACCGAGGAAGATGGCGTGAACCAATGCTTCGTAGTGCACTAACCTTAAAGCTCTTGACATACGAACCTGTAAGTTTCCCCCCTTTTCTTTCTTTCTTTAATTTAATTTAATTTAATTTAATTTAATTTAATTTAATTATTATTATTATTATTATTATTATTATTATTATTATTATTATTATTATTTGTGGTTGACTTGGTCTGGCGTAATAACATGTTTCTTTTTATTGTACATATGTAAATACATTTAAATATCAATATAATAGACGGGTGCAGTCGTTGCTGCAGCTACATTTGGTATCCCTGAAGGTAAAAATAAATAAATAAATAAATAAATAAATGAATAAATGAATGAATGAACGAATGAATAGCTGGATAAGTAAAATTGGCAAAAAAGGAAAGCAGGGAAAGTAGGGAAAGTAGGGAAATAAGGGAAATAAGGGAAATAAGGGAAAGGTTGGTATTCAAACATCCTGCAGAAAATGCACTGACAGTTCTTTGTAAATATCTGTATGTATGCATGTCATATAAATGCGTATTTATTTCATTTAGCTATTGGTGGTCCGCGCAACTGGGATTATCGTTACGTGTGGGTGCGCGATGCTTCTTTTACGATTTATGCGTTTCTGAGACTTGGGTTTACAAAGGAGGCAGAGAGATATATGCACTTTATAGAAGAAAGGTGTAATGATCTAGTAAGTAATGGATATAAATAATGTATCAGTATTAATATCAAGTCTTGCTGTAGAATGATGATGGATCGTTAAATATAATGTACAGCATCGATGGATCAAAGAAATTAGATGAGTATGAACTGGACCACCTTGATGGCTATCGGTCGTCTCGTCCTGTACGAATCGGCAATGGTGCATACGATCACCTCCAAATGGATATTTATGGCGAACTTTTGGATTGCATATATCTGTACAACAAGTATGGATCACCAGTGTCTTATGACATGTGGTGCTCTGTTAGAAAACTGGTGAACTACGTGTGTGACAATTACTATGAGCCAGACATGTCTATTTGGGAAGTGCGTGGCAAGAGACAGCACTTTACATACTCTCTTGTTATGTGCTGGGTGGCCATTGACCGAGGTATTTATAGATAGTATGATAATAAACAGTTGAAAAATTAAAAAAAATTAAATGATCTTCGGCAGGACTAAGACTTGCCGATAAACGCGTCTTCCCGTGCCAAGACAGAGATCGATGGATGAAAATACGGGACGAGATTTACGAATTGGTTCAGACAAAATGCTACAACAAGGAACTCAAGATGTTTAGCCAGAGTGTCGAGTTCCCCGAAGCATTAGATGCCAGCACACTAATTATGCCTCTTGTGTTCTTTATGTCTCCTACTGATCCACGCCTATTGTCGACGATTGATAAGATGTTACTCCCACCAGAAAAAGGTAAAATTTAATTATATAGTCAATAGTCAATAGTCAGTAGTAATAGCGATAGTAACCAAGTAAATACTAATATGTACTTTTATATAATAATCAATAAATCAATTAGGTGGTTTGGTTGCAAATGATCTTGTTTTTAGATACAATTTCTTGACTACGGATGACGGCGTGGGTGGACTAGAGGGAGCATTTTCAATGTGTACATTCTGGCTTGTCGAGGCACTTACTCGGGCCGGCAAATATGACAAAAAGAAGCTCAAGCGGGCAGTGGCCATGTTTGAGAAGATGCTGTCTTATTCCAACCATGTCGGTCTGTTCTCGGAAGAGGTTGCTCGGTCAGGAGAGCTCCTGGGTAATTTCCCTCAGGCATTTACTCATATCTCGTTTGTCAGTGGTAAGTTTCTTTTTTGTCTTTGATTGTATTTCTTGGTGATTAAGCTGGCTAGGGGTTATTTAATATTAATATTGATATTAATATTATATGCTTTCTTTATTGTCTCTCTTATCCGCTGTAGCTGCTTATAATCTTGATCGCGTTCTTTCAGGCTCTTAGAGATTATACAATAGAAAAGAGGTGTTGTAGGTCATGCAGACATGGCTGTAAAATAAAGATATGTTAATAGTACTGGAGTATGCTGGGTTAAAATAAGCCGGGTCCATTGTCAATTGTGTCTTACTTACCTTGAATTTTAGTGTAAGGTACACATTTTATTTAGTGAATAAGATGTACAGATTATACAAGATATATAGAGACCTCTGTCTGACTCCCTTGCCCTTCTCTTCCCCCCCCCTTTTTCTTTTCTTTTTCCACCATCATTCTCCCTTGTTTCGCACCATCAACTCACTCCGTCCTCCTGAAAAAACTCGACTATTCTTGTTGCGAAGAAGAATAATCATTCCAAACCCTCGCTTTCTTCTTCCTCTTACTCCTCTTACTCCTCTTACTCCTCTTACTCCTCTTACTCCTCTTACTCCACAGCCTTCATAACCCCCACCACCACCACCGACCACCGACCACCGACCACCGACCACCAGCCATCAACCATCAAAATACCATATTTACCTTTAAATTCAACTTTAATTTTACCTTTACCAACGTCAACCTCCTCTTATTCTTTTATCCCTTTTATATATTTATATATCTGAATATTTTTCTTTATATTTTTCTATATCTTTCTCCTCAAAAAACAAAAACAAAAAAAAAAGGATTTAACCTCATTTCTTTTACTCTTTTTCTCTCTCTCTTTATTTTTCATTCTTGAAAAGACTCGATTTTTATTATTATTATTATTATTATTATTATTGCAATATGAAGAGTGTACGTCTTGCTCTTATCAATCGACAATTCGATGATCAATACACCTTTGAATTGAAAGGATATGTAAGTATATTATATTATATAAAATATATAAAATATATGTATTATTTTTAATTTATTTTTTTGGAATTAATTTCATTTGTGACCATCTTTGTGTACTCATTCCTTATCCCAAATTTATAACATATATACTTATATACCTGTAAATTATTATCATTATTTTTTTTTCCTTTCTGCTATTACTATTGCTATTGCTATTACTATTGCTATCGTTCGTTTATTGGTACAGCTGTCTCTCCAACAGTTTTGCTCTGCCCTCTGCCTTTTTAATCAGGCCACCCGACAGAAGCCACCGCCTGGAAACAAACTCATCTGGCTTGGATCTCTTTTGACAGCTTGGTTATTTATCACAGTCGCAATCTATTCAGTATGGCAACAGGCAAAGCACCCTTCTGTTCTTTTGATCATTCCACTATTGATTGTCTTGACCAGTCTAGTGACACTTTGGAGATACAGATTTAAACGTCTACAGGTAAAGAAAAAAAAAGAATAATAATATTTCGATTTATTGTTATTTAAACAAAGCTCTTGATTTTATTGTCTTCTTTCTTTAGTTTGAACACACTATCCTAGAAATCTGCAGTCGACTCAATGCTACTGAGAACATTCGCGGCATAAACTATCGGTTCAGCAAAAATGGCTTGGATCTAGTCAGTCCTACTCGAACGTCATTCTTGTGCTTCAAGCCAGTATATGTATGTCTTGTAGATTTACTAACCTTGTCTTATTACTAATGTTATCAAGTAAATGTCTGTAAATCTTAAAAGGCTATTATAATCGAATTTGATAATCGGTACACAGCCCTGACAAGCCAACAATTCAACGATCCTTCCGAGGACACGTTCTATCCTTCTTACCTTGGATCACCAGCCCCTGTTCACGTTGTAAACACCGAGAAGCACCCGTCCATGTTCTACGACTCTCCACATCCATTGAAATCCTTTGATTGAGATGAGATCAGAATTGCTCTCTCTCTCCTTTTTTCTTTATCCCACGATCATACACTCCAAAAAAGACACTAACAAAAATAGCAAAAGAAAATAAGAAAAGAATCATAATCTTTTACTTCTTTTTATATTTATTTTTTGTTCTTCTTCTTCTTCTTCTTCTTCTTCTTCTTCGTCTAGTATTATTATTATTATCTCTTTACTGTCACAATCTCAATAGTTCAATGTCGAGAAAACCTTGAAATATCACAGAATCACGGGCACACACACACACACACACACTCGCACAAAACACTCGTACAATGCCCGTACAATGTCTGTATCAAATTCGCGCACACTCGCACAAACCCACCGTTATTTCCTATTACCACCAAGCCCTACACCAAAAAAACATACAGCCTACAATCTACATCTACATCTACATCTTTTTCTTTTAATTTTTTTTTTTTTTTTTAGAAAAATACCCTTTTTCTTCTGTACCTTTATCTACTAGCAATATCAATAGTATTGATTCTCTCTACATATTCTCCTTTTTCTACTTTTCATAAAGACAAAAATAAATATATATATATACTCTTTCCAGAAAGTGAATTCGTCATTGGTGTAAAATTAATTCATTGAGGATAAGAACCAAAAAAAAATTCATGTTGTACGAAATGTAAACTCATCTTTGTCGAAAAACTCGACTCAAGAATATGTTGTTATGAGGGAACAATAGATGAAGCATTATACACTCTATTCTCTAATCAGAACAAAATGGGCTGAACAGTACGAGAGGGAGGGATACTGATAGTCCTTTTGAGAAACAGAGAAAGACTGGTCATCTATGCATTCTCAATAAGAAGTACAATCGATTTATTCTTGGATGACCAGATGAGGCACCCAAGACAAGGGCTCCCATAATCTATAGTATCCAGAAAAGCACCTTTTCTTTCTTTCTGGATTTTCTAAAGAAACCCTGTCACTTATAGCATGACGTGCAACTATTCAAGTCACTATATTTATAATGAAACTAGCAGTTTTAGATTTGTCGAGCCACGATTGTCACTGCGCATAGAATCTCTTTGAAATATTGTGGCCGTCTACCTTCCCAGTGGTTGTCGACCCCCTAATCGTGGCATAGGTAGTGGCTCGATCAGATAGGTTTTATGTTTTGACATGGCGGACGAGTTTACATTTTGTATCAAACATATCAATTTATGGAACACTCGCATACTTTACTTCAACGGTCTGGTATCCGTCTTTTTTGATTTTTGTTTTGCATTTGCGTGGTAGCAAACATATTCTCTTCCTTGATCACTCTTTCAAGGCTCTTTCACATATATCTCCCTTTTGGTCAGGAAGGATGGCCTACAAAGGTAATATATATGTAGCAGTCCTTATATGTTTCCTGCACAAGCTCCCTTTCTCATAAAGCCAAGAAGCCTTCAGATCTGTCCCATATCTTTGTCAAGTCATGACTGCGGGAGGTGCTCTCTTGGGCTATCATATTTCACTTTAGAAAATACAAAACTCTCAAAAACATCAAATAACAAATATAATCCAAAACAAAGGTTGTGACTTCCTCTATTGCTGCAGAGCAATAAAAGCTCACCAATTATCTTAAGCACAAAGCTCTCTACAAACAAACAAGCAAACAATAAATAAATAAATCCGTATTTATGTTTTTGGTTGATAGCTTTTGGCTTGTGTACAAACATGATAATCAGCTTTTTAATGTGTAACAAGGTACACAGCCTATATATATATATATATATATTCATCTGTCTGATCTACCCTGCTTTTCTTCTACTCTGTTCTGGTGTACTGTGCTGTGCTATGCTGTGCTATGCTGTGCAGTTGTTTTGCCTTGATTAATTATAATATTTTTTTTTTACTATGCCTTACTCTCTTTTGCTCTACTCTACAATTTTCTCTCCTATTTTTTTTTGCCTTTTTCCTTCTTGCTTGTTTTCTTGTATATAGATATATAAAAGATGCAATGGAAATTGTTGATAGGGTTGAGTGGTTGGGGTTTCTGTGGTGCAACTGCAACCGTCCTACAATCGGTTTTCTCAACACAGCCTGTGTTCGCGTCGTGCACCAATTCTCAGCTGTTATTGAGCTGCACTGAACAGGCATTGAGTTCCAATGACAGCTGTTGTGTCGAGAACAAATCCGGATTAATTCTGTTGGCGTAAGTTGTAGACAAATGGCCAAAAGACATAATGATAACGATAATACTAGTAAGAGTAATATTTGACCCAACTTATTAATATTAATATATAACACAAAAAATTCTCATTCTTTGTGTTTCTATAGTCAATTTTGGGATATCCATGCCGGTGTATAGTACCTTTCTCTTTCTTTCCCATATATATATATATATATATGGTTATTCTTATCCTTATTATCTTATTCTTTATTCTAGTATCCTGATCAATGGACTATTCACGGTCTGTGGACAGACTATTGCACCAATAGTACATGGGTAATAACCACCTCTTCTTTCTCTTGAAGCAATTTACACACACACACACACATATATATATATATACTTATATATAGTCTTTTTGTTTTGGCGGGGGAATCGTATCTGTAGCCCGAGTTCTGTGACGATTCTCGTGCACACTCCAATATTACGGCAATATTGCAGTCAAGAGGGAAATACGAGCTGTTGCAGACAATGAACAATGTCTGGCCAAACAGTGAAGGCCTGGTGGACTCGCTCTGGTTTCATGAGTGGAATAAACACGGAACCTGCATGACCACACTAGAGCCAGGATGTACCAGTAGTGACAAACTAGAGCTTGATTCCTATCAAGGCATTATTGATTATTTTAGTTCGGCTGTCGATCTATACAGCCGGTTTCCGGTGTTTCAAGCCCTGGCCCGGCGTAATATTCTTCCCGGAAGAATCTATCAGACTACATTGGTTGCAAGTGCAATTGAAGAAGAATTGGGAATCTTACCCAATCTTCAATGTGACACTAACGGCACCCTCTCTGAGTTGTGGCTCTACTTTTATGTAAAGGTAACACTTGACAATCTATATCTACTATTTTTATATATTATATCTATTCTTTTTTAAAAAAAAATGTGTATTTCTCATTCGTTTTTTTTTTAAAAAATATTATAAGGGTCCCATCAAATACCTAGAGTTTTATCCTACTCAGCCAGACAGTACAAGCTCATGTAATGTTAGTTTGTACTATCCAAAGAAGTATCCCTCAAACCCATATCCTGTTACAAATGTGATTCCCTGATTATCATATATCATTTATATGCAATAATAAAATGGAAAAACCTACAACTGTATATTAATATTATTATCTTGGTTTTTAATCCAAAAAACCATCTTACATGAATATTGTATGGTAGACTGCTTACAGGTTGCAAAGTTGGATAAAGAGACAAACATGGCCTACAAAGCTATGTATTTTTAATCTGAACTTAAAGAAGCCTTTGCCATAAAAAAGTAATGACTGTGATTACTTTTTAATGCATTGTTGCTTTTTTTTATTTCTCTTTTTTTCACAAGGTCTAAAATTATTAAATGTCTTTAAAAGAAACATACTTAATAACTATCAAGGCTAGTATTAATAAAATACGAATCAGCGAAGTTGATAAAAGAAAGCAATCTGAGAAAAATTGACAGAAAAACATCTACATCATGTATAGTTTGGCTGTCAAGATTGCTCGTATGCTCATTAGAGCTTTCGGTAGATTTAGAGAATCCCAAGAAATCTGTCTTCTGGTTTTTCAAAAGTAGGAATCAAGCATGCCAATGTTAACACAAAGCAGGTTTATACTCTTTGATAAAAAGAATCAATTAAGCAATATACATGCCTTCATCAATATTATAGTACTTAGAGAGTAACTTTTTTAAGATAAAAAATGTAAAAGGTATTACATAGAAATAGATATATGTAAACTGTTTAGTAAATTTATAGCTTAAACTGCTACTAAATATCATAAAAATCGGTACTTCTTCTTTGGATACTTCTTTATGTTTAACGTTTTATTTTGATCAATAGAAACCATAAAATTCCAATATAAAACATGATGCATTTGTTGAACCAATCATAAAGAGAATACAACTACCTAAGAAAGGTATAATTGGTATATTTAGAATATTTGATTGGATCAGATGCAAAATAATATAAAATTCCATAAATCGTATTTGACAAAAAGTAAAACTAATAGGCTAAAACAGGCATGCTATTGGCTATAAAAGTTACGAGTGCGTAACTCGGTACGAGGTCGGAGGTATAAATCCTCCCATTTCCTATAGTGATAGTTGCAACTGACAGATATAGTCAGCCAAGATATATACATGACAGAACAAATATATAGGTATGAAAATGAAATGAAATGATTTGATCAAAAGATTGTTATTATCATTATTAGTATTAGTATTAATATTAGTAGTATTAGTAGTAGTAATAAAGTGAACAAAAAAAAAGAAAAAAAAAGAAAAGAAAAATATTGGATATTTGAAATAAAAAGGATAAATTAGAGTGCACCTGTCCGAGTTACTTTTGTTGCACAGTAAGCAAGGTCGGCATTAAATGAGAATTACAAGCTACACAAAAAATAGAAATGGAAATAGAAATGGAAATAGAAATAGAAATAGAAATAAGAAAAAAAAAGATTCAGTACAGACATATTACTAATAAAGAATTAAAAAATAAAATAAGGAAAATGAGCAAAGGTAAGGGTAATAGAAGATTAATAATAAGAAAGAAGAATGTGAGTGAATTAGAGTTGAAGGTGGAGTTAAAAGACCATTACGAAGAAGAAGTAGAAGAAGTAGGAGAAGTAGATATTAAAATCAATAAATAAATTAAAATAGGGTAAAGGTGGATGTACAAAAGATGGACAGGAAAATAAGCAAGAAAAGCTAGAAGCAAGAAAAAGACAAAGACAGAAACAAGAAACAAAAAACAAAAAACAAAAAAAAAACACACACACACAAAAGTACAAAGATAGAAAGAAGAAGAAGAGGGTTTCGCCTTGCTTGACTTGACTTGACTTGGTTTGGTTTGGTCTGATTTGGTCTGATTTGTTCCTTTTGTCTTGTTTTCTTTGATTCATTTTTAGTCGTTTTCAGAGTAACGGGAATTAATTGAGGCAGTTGATGATGAGGACGACGAAGACGATGAATATTTCTTTTGGGCATAGGCAAAATGAACATTTTCAAACGTCTTGTATTCATCGGCTTCTCTCCAGCAGGCTTGTAGTCGGCTCTCGTAATTCTCGGCGGTTGCCTTTCCAGCAAGACAGATCTGAGGGCGCAAGGCCTGGTAATAAGCTTTCCATGACTGCAGAGTCAATTGGCCAAGCTAGAAAAAGCAATAACCAAAACAAAGCAAATAAGTAAATAAATTATAGAGATGCGGTTACATTTATACATCTATACATTTATTGGGTTGGTTTAGATCGACAAAAACCAAACCAAGGCAGGTCAGACGAAAACAACAACAACAAAAATATATGTTGTTTTGCTTATATATTTATCTATCTATTTTATTCATTTGTTAAAAGTAACCTACCTTTCCAGCCCATTGACCACCTGGACAAGAGATAAATTTTGTGGTTGTATTCATTAAACCCCCATGATCGACTAGCTTCTCTTTCAGCCGCTGTCCGGCGCGAGGATCCATTTGGCAAGAGGCCATGAGATCAAGAAGATGCTGGTTGTATTCTTGTGTGATTGGTCCCACACGGTGCATCTTACTATCGGCCTCGACAAGTTCAATCCACCCTCCGGGCTTCAGGACACGTACCAACTCGGCAATCAACGGAGCCCATTTTGATTCCTCTACACCCAAAGCAACCCCTCTTTATATATATATATATATATATATATATATATATATATATATATATATAAAATTAATTGATGAGAAAAACAAACAAACAAACAAACAAACAGATATATATTAGTGATGAAACTTACCTCATAAATACATAATCAAAGGACCCGCTATTGAATGGTAACCCATGTAATATATTGCAATTGTAGAATTCGCAGTTTGATGGCTTAATGTCTCGAGGAAACATATTGTTTATGTCAACTCCAACCACAGTCGATTTGGGATATTCTCCTGCGATTTCCATTGTCCAAGAGCCAGGTCCACAACCAACATCAAGCACCCGCGCTCCTTTACGCAAAATGTCACTTACTGGGGCAAGATAATTTCTACACAGAGAAAATATATATATATATAAATATGCTGTGCATAAAACATAACAAAATGAATGCTTTACCCTTGAATAGCAAACCGAACCATAAAATGCTGAAGATGAAGACGATCAATCTCTTCTTCGTCGCATGGTAATAAATATGAAGAACCAAGTGTTTGATGAAATTTACGGCCTGCTATCCAAAGACATGTTTCAGGACTATCAAATGTATTGAATTGGGACTTTCTGTTGTTGTTGTTGTTGTTGTTGTTGTTGTTTTTACTGTGTTTGCAGCTAGACCAACTTTCTCTTCTGGGTTGGTGTGTAGAGCAGAGGCTGACTTGATCATCACCTGTTGTTAGAACGTGTGGTAGGCTGGTGATAGAGGTTAGTGGGTGTACAGATGAGGGTGCCTGGAGAGCAACAGACAACGGACTGGGAGTCTCGCACAGGGTACTGGCCGAAATATTGTCGCGAGAAAAAGCACGGAAGGGAAGTAGACGGGCAAAAGCTCTCTTGGAATGATTTGATGATGACGATGCTGTGTTTGTATTCAAAGTTGCATTTGTGGTTGTGGTCGTTGTTACTGGCGATGGCGATGATTGCTTTCGAATTTTAATTCGACCATCCGATGAGGTTGCTGATATGGTAGGAAGTAGATAATGTCGTTTATAGGGATCTTGCTTGGCATCTGTGTCTTGCCAGGGAGTGATTGTCTTTGAAATGGTGTCAAAATGCCCAACAGTACTGGCACTACGATGATCGAGACGAGAGTGCTGGTTTCCCATTACTATTATTGTTGTTATTATTATTATTCCTGTTGTTGTTGTTGCTGCTGTTGTTGTTGTTATCGGTGTATGTGTTTGTGTTTCTTCCTTTCTTTCTTAAAGACGTAAAAGAAATATGACGATATATATATATGTGTGTGTGTTTGTGTGTTTGTGCTTGTGCCTGTGCTTGTACTTGTACTTGTACTTGTACTTGTACTTGTACTTGTACTTGTGTAAAAGAATAGTTGATATATGCGATATTATATAGCTAACTTTCTTTATTTCACCCGTTCGATCGATCTCGTTCTTTAGCTTTCTTTCCTTTTTTTTTAGGTACTGTCCTGTCGTCTTTATAACAGTTCTGGCTAGAATAAAGAAGCTCAGGATATCATATGGTTCAAGAAGAACAAGAAGGGGAAAGGGGTTGTATTATGCGTTGTGTCTTTTGGTGCAAATATATATATATATATGTATATATATGTATAGATCTACAATTTTATATAAATGTATATTTATATACACAAAAGAATAATGATAGAATAAAAAGAAGAAGAAGAAGTTGACAATGCGCCACTACATATAGTATAATATATATACACACACATACACATACATCAGCAAAATAGTACTTTGTAGTCATGGTTTTGTACCACTTGTGTTTTTTTTTTAAAAAATAAATAAATAAATAAATAAATTAGCCAGGCCTTTTTAAATACATAAAAATAAAAATAAATATAAGAATCCAGCAATTGAACATAGCAACAGCCAGAACTAAACAGGATACTAATTTAATAAATAAAAAATAATACTGTACTATAGAATTATATTACACGCGGTATTTGTATTAATATATTAATATAAATACATAATTATTCATCCAACCTCAAATATTTCATATAGCAATAATGGTCTGGCTAATTGATAATTAAGCCTCAATACCAAAAGGACAATAATAGTAGTATTATAGAGAGTAGGCTACACTCACCACATGAAAGGCTTTACTCACCGACATTGGGTAGGCTTGCCTTATCAAGGAATACTGCGCCAGAATTATTATTATTACCATTATTATTTGTCTGTCAATATATCTAATACGATAATTAAAGAGCAACATCGCCAAAGAGCTTGATATATATATATGTGTGTGTGTAATTGTAGATAGCTATAGATAGATAGAGCGAGAATCATTTGTCTTCATTTCGTATTTAATAATAGCCATTAAAGAACCACACAATGCTTTATCTTCTTCTGTTCATGTGTATGTATGCTGAGAAGTGTTAGCTGTCTTAATGTGTATATATTTGTAAATTAAATTATACCAGTAGTAATAATTGTCATCATTTATTTAGCTAATGTTGAACAGTTCCTCATTCTCACTATAGATATCCAAGTGTGTATATATACTAATGTCTTTCTTTCTTTCCTTCTTCTATTGCAAGTTTATCAGGGAGTGCCAAGGCTATATACAGTTGCGATTCGTATGTACCAAGTTCGTTTATATTATATGTGTGTGTGTATGTATATATGTGTGTATGTGTAACACAGCTGCCATTTCCTCAAGAGGATAAGGCCAATAAAATATTTTCCTAATGCGTCTGGGTCTATTATAATTATTTATAAAGCAAGACATTCAAGATATTTTATACCGAGATTTCGGAATTGTTTTTCTTTCTTTCTTCCTCTTCCTCTTCTTCTACTTCTTCCTCGTTATATATATATATATATTGTCAATAGAGAGCGTTTTTTTATTAATAATCACTTATATGTATATATAGACAAGACCTCAAAGCATATAAAGAATAGGATGCGGCTTAATAAAATATCTCAATGCTGCAAATACAGCTTCTAGTAAATATACATAAATAGTTGCTGGATTTCTTAATTAAATAATGAAATGGTAGTGCTGCGAGTGAATAGTAGAATAAGATATAAAGTTATCCAGATTGAAATGCAAGATATACTTTTAACTTATTGATTCAATAAGACTAATATTTATATATATCATCTTTGGCAAAAAAAAACAAGATCATCCATTTCTTTTGCTTCATCGTAGCACGGGTCAGAAAAAAGGAATCGTTGGATAACCAGTGCAAGGGTTGGCAGGGGGGCAGGTTGTTTCAAAGTACTACCGGTAGATATAACAGAAGTTTCAATTTTTAAGGCACTTTCACAAGCAAAGTTCTTAAGAGAGATCAAATGTGTGAGGATTCTGGGGAGAAGGGTAATCTGATCCAAATTTCCAAAGAGTTTCAACTTGGCAACACTGATCATTCTATAAACCTTGGGTGAAACGAGATCCATGACATAGGTGTGCAAATTGTTGCCTTCACGGTGGATGCCACACACCTTTGGTTCAACAACACCGCTTGAAATCAGGTTGTTCATAGTAAATTTCGTTTGCTTAGCAAGCTTTACCAAGTCAGATTCCACATACGAATTTTGATCGACATGTTTGAATTCGGAAATCGATATAATATGCTTCACGCTACCGGAAAGGTTGTAAACCAAAAAGTCTGGTTTGTATGCTTTGGAATCACTGCTCATCAATTGACTATTAGCCCATTTCATGCTCAACAAGGGATCAGACCCAAATACAGTGACCAACAACGGCGAAAGATAATTATGTACATAGCTGTCTTCGATCGAGCAACCCGGTGGGCCATTAATAAATATGGGGAGAATATATATCAGGACTTGAGCTGTGTGGATATCCAATATATCGTCTGATTCGCAGCCATCACTAAGCATTTTTCCCGATAATTTTAAAGATGAAAGCCCGTCTGACGGAGGAGATGCTTCAATATCCATGCACCAGTCGTGGCATTGAATACCTCTTGGGGGAGTATATGCTCCAAGTGATAAAGACGGCTAAATTGTATTGTGGATTGCGAGGGTGAAGTATTTATTGGCAGAAAAGACAACGTTCTTCTCAAAGAGGTACATGTTATTTAAAACAAGAAGGCGAATATCAGAGAGTTGGGCTGGATTCGTCTGATCAATCATTTGCATTGTTACATTTTTTAGATTGGAACACAAATCTGAAATATAATGGCTGTTTAGCATCTATTTTGTGCCGTTGGCTGGATCTTCCTTCAATTTGGTAGAGTCTTCCCGAGAGTAAAGGATGTAATCATTGGTGTGTCTGGGATGGTGATCGATGGATAATTCAGAGGAAATTCTTGTTTCATATTCGTCACTGTCATATTTCCCATTCATCATTTAATTGTGATTGTGGTAGTTGTGCTTGAGTAGGGGCCAATAGCCCGGTTCCAATAGCATTGACTGTGGAAAAGCCTTTAGCTGAAATATTAAACGTGATTTTGGAGGGACTTTCTTTATTTGTGCCTATTAAACGGTCTATCTCTGTTTTTACGTCTTCTGGTATATTGCCTGTGTTTTTTGGGGTTTTCATCATGTTTAAATATGCGTTTTTCATTTTGTTTGCGTTTGGCTTTATTGGCTTATTCTTAATAAATGCAGCCTCAAATTCAGGATAGGACCATTCGCTAACAGGATGCTCTGAAAAATATTTTTTGACAGGATCATTCTTTTGATTGTCCAATTTAAAGTATTCCATGTTAAAGACAGTAAGCTACCCCGAATTCTGCTAACGAGCTTTTTTTTTTTCATCGATAGTAGGCAAACAGGCGATAAAGTGACACCTTTTGGATCTGACTATCAGCAATGAGGGTAATAACCCCGCAAATGGCGGTGTTCTTGCCAAGGGAAGTGGAAGCCAATTTGGATATCGCAAGCAATGGGTGGCACGGTCCATAGTGGTGCCTGTTGTCATCTTCCAGGAATTATACCAAGTGTCGTTTCGAGTAATGTTGGCACAAAATCTCACTGAGGTTGCCGTACGATGGAACTGGAGAAGTGACAACAAAAGGCTGCTTTCAAGGGAACGTCAATTGGGCTAAATGCGTGAATGAATCACATTAGTCTCCCCCTCATCTGTGGGGGAGTTAGTATCTTTATGAATAAACAATATTATGTTTGTTTTCGTATTTTATTTTTGTAAAAGACGATTTTATTTTCTTCTACTTAGTCACGCATCATAATGATTGGCGATTCTGGAGATGTCTCTGTTCAGTAGTAAATGAAGCCATGTAGAAAGGAATTTATATTTTTTAGGGGGAAATATACTACATTATGGATTACGCAATGAGGTAGTAGGGTGTAAATCACATGATCTAAATCTTCATTCTTTCCAATATGATAAAAAAGAAGAGACGAGTCGTGAGCAAAGCATGATTATTACAATTTATTTAATTGGATAAAATAGTGGCAACATTCTTAATTTTCTCTTCGACCCACGCACACTCAAGTATAGAGCTTGATTTTCGCATGTAAAAATATTTTTGTAAGATGTCCCTGATACCGGGATTGATTTGATATAGCTCTACGTCTCTCTTTCTCTATTATTCAATGCATATATATGCATCTAGCATAATCTTTATCTTTCGAACTTTAAAATGATAGGAATACTAAAAGATGCCTACTGGGAGAACATTCATTGTTGGACAGTTGAATTGCACGGACTGACAGACACATATATGTAATTAGCTGACAAGTTGACAAGTTTATTTTGAAAAAGAAAACAGGAGGCAACAATCAACAATCAACACCATTAGGAGTTTAGTTCCTGGATTTTGGTTTACTATATATATATTGATGAGAAGAAAATAACAATAGACAAATGATTATTATTATATTTGTAACTTTTTAACTTGTGGCATGTTTCTTGAATAGAATATCGCCTTCCACACACCAGAACAAAAGAATATTATCAGTTCAATTTGTTCAATTAAGCATCACTAGACAAATTATCAAAGGTATGTAAGCAAGCTCAGTGACATTAAATATACTTCATTTTAGGAAAAGGAGGGAAGGGAAAAATAAAGGCGTGAGGATGAAGATCAGTGCTAGTGAATCTGTAAATCTTACAGAAAATAAATGTCTGTGCGGATATTGAGAATTGTAATGACCCAAGAAAAAAATACCCCTTTCCTTTCTCAGTTGTAAAATAATAGAAAGAAAGAAAAAGGCAGTTCATACGGAGAATATTGTGTGTCATATCAGATCCTAAGCTTGGTCCTGAAATATATATGTAATATCACATAAGGACCAGAAGGGAGGAGTATGTACAGGAGAACACTAAACCCTGAGCAGGAGAAAAACAGAAATATATCTATATATCTACAGTATGGAATGTTTATTAGAGCTGAAAGAATAAACTTTATAGCAAAGATATACAGCAATAGTCATCATGTTCAAAAAACTACATAGCTCACACAAATTATCATCATCATTATTTGAAACAAATAAAATATTAGTAATTATATACAGTAGATTTGCTGTGTTCAGTGTATTTCAGCCAGTCAAATATATATATACAAAAAATAGAAGAAAGTGCACAGGCCGCTACTTTTTTTTTCGCTTAACTAACCATACTACAAGTCCTTGTTTTGAACATTTCATAGCGCACTTCTGGGTCTATATCATGTAAAACATAAGCTTTAGAATAGGTAAATCGAATCTTGCTCCCGAGAAGTATTCAAAACGACTTGACTTTGAGTGTGTGCACAATATATCTCGACTGTAATCGAGAGAATGGGATCTAAGCACACTAGAAAAGAAGTGTATATGTATGTGTTTAATATTTTTGTAGACATTAAGAATCTATACAAATATTCTTGAGCCAAAACGGCATTAAATTTCTCCCCCCCCCCCCCCATCTGATGTGATTCTTATTTTTTCTTTAACCAGTGTGCTGTCGTACTAGATTTGTTTTTTTTTTTTAAATGTTTTGGCGCTTAGAACCTTATTTGCTTTTGACGTACAAAGTTGTATGTTATGTTCTTATAATACAAAATATACAATATAATGCAGTACACACATGCATACATTAATCCTACAGTCTCTCAAAGCCGTAAAGCCTAAGCAAGATATACAAGCAGACTAAAAATACATAGATTATTTTGATTTTCTTGGGTGTTTTTAAATCCTCTTTGTACAAAGCTAGACTCTTATACCCAGTTATAATAATATTAGCAGCAGCCAGCCTGAATACAAGTATGGACACAATAAATATGAGCTGTGTTTAGTAAATAAGATTCTTGGATGAGCAGCTTGAGTATAAAGTTACAGTACGCCTGTTTGTGACTGATGTAAATACACATGAGAAAGAAAGAAATATTGATTACATTCTATTAAACAATTCAATGGATATGTAATCTGTGGGACAGCAGTACAACCAAGTACAAGTAAAGTTAAATACGCCCATGCCCCCCTCCCTCCCCAATTTCTTCCTTTCTTCCTTTCTTTTTATTTTTATTTGCTTTCCTATCCAACTTGACTCAACAATCATGTCTTATTCTAGCTCACGATTTGACCCTTCAGATTACCCTTATATAATAGGCATTGGTAACAAGCGTGTCTTATCAAACCCGCCTTTCGTCTATTCCAAAATGACCGCACTCTAACCAAAACTTAATTGTTTGCTTTAGATTTTGGTACGACTTATTCTGGGTGCTCATATTTCTACACAGAGGACAGTACAGGCGAAATATTAGAGATTACAGAATGGTAAATATATATATGCGTGCGTGTGTATGTGTTTAGTCTAGAGTAGCCAAAGAGTAATCATTCAAAAATGAAAATGAAAAACACGTTCTCATTGATATTTTACTTTATTTTATTTTACTTTACTTTACTTTCCTCAAGGCCTAAACAGCGTGGTGCTATTTACCCAAAAGTACCAACCGCGTCTCTTTACGAAGCAAATGGAAAACGGATGATTGCATGGGGAAATGATGCCATATTCAAAGCGCAACGCCCAAACAACAAGGATGTTCTGGTCGAAAGATTCAAACTGACTCTTGATCCAAATATAGCTAGTAAAGCTACACTTCCAAATGGATTGACGTCGCTTGAAGGTTCGTATAAAATTTGGGTTGTGGGTGGTAGTTTATCTTTGAGAAATAAAGAAAGTGATGATGCGTTATATATATATGTAACTTGCTGTCAATTAACCAATCAACCTACTTACCTTTATTTTTAAATTATGATATATATATATATATATATATATGTGATTAGTGATTACTGATTATCTCACTGCATTCCACGCTTATGTTCTTGAATACCTGGACCGAGTTCTGGGACACGTGTATCAACACTCGAAATCCAGATACTGCCTCACTGTTCCAGCCATGTGGGATGACCAAGCCAAAGCTACAATGCGAGAGGCGGCCATCTTGGCTGGAATTGTGTCCCGCGCTGATAACCCTGACCGGCTTGTCTTGACCAGCGAACCTGAAGCCGCGTCTCTGTTCTGTGAAAAGAAGTGCGACCAGTTTGAGCTTGAAGAAGGAAAACGGTTTATGATTTGCGATGCCGGAGGTGGAACGGTCGACTTGATCGTGTTTGGGATCGATGACAACAATGGAAAGAAGACTCTGCGTGAGATTACCAAGGGATCTGGAGCGTCTTGTGGATCCACTTTTCTGGATGCGCGTATGCGGAGAATCTTTAAAACCCGATTTGGAGAGTATTATCAAGATAACAAGCAGGCAATCAATCACATAATGAAGCAGTTTGTAACAGTGATAAAGGTAATTATATAAAAGAGAAAGTGTATATCTATTATCACTCTACTGTTGTGTAGATAGGTTTTTCTGCTACTAAATTTCCTCCTATCTCTGCTGTAGCCTCAATTTGAAAATGAAGATGACGAGTTTTTCTCTATGCCGATGTCACTAAAATTAAGTGAGGATGAGTTGTCTGAAATCGGGATAGAGGATGGAAAACTTCAAATATCGGTTGATGACCTTAGAGAAGAGGTGTTTGAACCTGTCGTTAAGCAGGTACTTGACCTGATTTCTGATCAAGTCAATCAAGCAAGAAAGAAATTGGACGCAGTGTTTCTTGTCGGAGGCTTTGGACAGTCTAAATACCTTCAGGAGCGTGTAAAGGAAACATTCGAGAGTAAGATTGGACTCATTGCGATGCCTGCGCGTGGTGAGCTTGCCGTTGTGAGAGGAGCAGTCATATTTGGATTGAGTCCTGGACGAGTGTCACATAGAGTTGCACGCCGAACCTATGGATTAGCTATGGATAGCCCATTTGACTATATCCAAGATCCAGCAGAGTACAAGTATATCGCTGCCGACGGTTCAGTAATGTGTAAAGGCCGATATATAGTATATGTGAACAAAGGCGAAACGATTGAAGCGGAAGAATGTGTTACACATAAGGCGTTCGCTTTCTACCCACAAAATATATCTGCTGGTATGTCGTGTGTGTGTGTGTGTTTTTTTTTTTTTAAAAAAAAAGCAATGATTCACAGTACTTACAATTTGTTATAGCCCTCTATGTATATGATGGTAATGAAGTACCTCCACGCTACACAACACACTATCGTGTTCGGAAGGTTTCGAATTTCACAATCAAAATGCCCTTTATTCCAAATGCTTACACCAATCAAAAGATTGGTGCTACATTGAACATGTACTTTGGCAATACTGAGATACTTGTAGAAATCAAAATACACGACAAAGTCTTTAGGAGTGCCTCTGAATACGCAGCACATGAACTCGAGAAGATCTCTGTACCGATAGACAGAGAAGAAGAAAGTGAAAATGATGATGATGATAAACCAGAATACTCTTTCATATAAATTCACATAAGACATACCACATCTATGAGTATCTTTTGCGCGACATAAGATCAACAAAAATCTAATATTTTATGGATTTCTGGCACCCTCCCTTCTACTTCACATATGTACTTTATTCTTATTTTTTTATTTAATAAAAAACTACCAAGGTGTAACATGCTAGTTGTAAACGACTTTTAGTTGAGTGCGTATATCTTAGTGTACATGACATTACACGGAATATCAGTAAAGTAGCCTGACGGAGACATTCATTCGTTCTGTGTGTATAACACCCTCTACATAAAAAAAACTAGCTGCCTTTACTTACAGCCCTCACAACAATTCGAATTTTTTTAAAAAAAAAAAAGCCACAAAAATCGTGACGCTTGAAATAAAATAAAAAAAAGGATCAACACACAAATCGATGTGCACACAATCATTTTAAGACCATAGTGAAAGATAATAATATTTTAGAGCCGATTTTATTTTTATTTTCATTTTAATTTGATTTTAATAATAAAATATTATTTAAATATTTGTATAATAAAATAGCATTAATCAGAAAGCCACAAAGTAGCAAGGAGACTGTGTAATCAGATGACGATTCATTCTAACTCCCAATATTTCATCATATGGAAAATTATATCTTTGTTGAGGTGCTTAAAAGCAACCTCGAACAGATCATTTTCCTACTAATGGTAAGGAAACAAAAAGAATGCAGGGAAATCAACCCTTTTTATAGTTTTATTTTTCCTATGAAAAGTGGAGGCTTGGTTGACGGAGATGTTAATTCTTTTTTCTCTGTCACAAAAATTTATTGGACTGTAACTTGACTGCTACTCGAGTTCCTTACTGTACTGTATTGTACTGTACTGTACTGTACTGTACTATACTATAGTGTAGTGTAGTGTAGTGTATTTGGTATTTCTTTAGTTTGTTCAAATCGTTTGCTCGAGTAACAAAGCTGACCTGTTAATTATTGTGGGTTGTATTTGATATGAAACAATACAAAAATGATGATAGTGATTCTTGGAATTTAATATAAACAACAAATATATGTACAACATCGTTTCTTGGAAATGAGGTCGTACACTCGATCATTTCTCTTTATATACTCATACACATAAAAAGAAAAGGCGGAAATTGTTCATTTAATGATTTTATAATGGGTGAGGTTCATAGGCTTCTTATTTAAGCAAAAATAATGATAGAAACCCTCCCTTTGAAAAGGTTGTTTTAAATAAATCTTTTTTTTTGGTTTTTATAATTTTCAATTATTCTCGCAGTCTAAGTTTAATTGGATTAATGAGTGAATAAGGAAGATATGCTATTTTTGCTACAAGGTACTTCTAACTAAATTTCTCAGTATAGACTGTCTATAAATGTGGGGGATAATAGAAAGTATACTACTTTGGGGTTTTTTTTCACTTTATTTCTTTGGTGCACAAAGCTGTGTCAAGAATTAAGCAAACAAATAAATAAAAGAATATCGTCAGGACAAATCCCAATACGATCTTGGTCCGTATAAGATCAAATTATTATACACAGATAAAATAGCATCATTCATTTGTTCACATCTTCAAATAGGGTTTTACTTGACAAGGAATAATGCTTATATATAAGAAAGTCTATATGGTACAAGTACAGCCTAGTCTAAAGAGAGAGAGAGATAGGATATTTCCATTAACCAAAAAAAAAGAACTACAGTATTCTGATGGTAAGAAAACTTTATTTCTCTATAGACGCTTCTAAAGAAATCTATTGAAATCTTCTTGGAATTCTAATATCATTCAATGTTTTGACAATATACTTTCAAGATAAACATTACGTACCATTAGACATCATTTATCTCTCGCCTGAAAATGTACCAAGCCGAAATCATGGTTCTTATTTTTCAGAGCAAAATATACGGAACACACATACAAATAGTGAAAGCTTGTAGAAAGTATATTTTGAAAGTATCAGCTGCTAACAAAAAAAGTGCAAAAAAGTGCTGAGGATTATCCAAAAGACACCATTGCAAAAGAAGGCTCAAAGAAGTTTTGCCTTTCCAGGGGGTGGGATATAGTGATGAGCGATTTGTCTTTATTTGAGTATTATCGAAAAATGGTGACATAATAATAAAAGCTTGGGCGCTTTTGCCTTTGTTTTCTTTTAAAGCCCTGTGGACTCTCCTAATAATCAATACAGTTGGAAGAAGTATAAGCACCATATAATTTTACGGAAGAAAAGCTTGTTGGGACTAGAAGCTACCAAGAAAGAAAAAAGTATAAAAAGATCTTCCGGAGATCTCCGGGCCTTTGAGAGAAAACACGACTTGGATTGCCTGCCTGTAAATGGTCATTTGGACCTTTTACAAACTACGTAAAAGAAAAATCGCTCGAATGGAATAATCTCATCAGCTGACCAATTGGGAGGAGATATGATGTGAAGAATACGAAAGTTTTATTGACACAGCTTTTGAAGATTCCAGGATCACATGTATGGCGCGAGTAAACTATGTTTATTAAATCTAACCAATTTTAATTTATTAATTTTTATAGTGTCGACAAAGAGGAAAATCAGCAAAGGTATCCCCTCGACTAGTATGAACACCAGGAAGTACTTTGGTTGGCTTTAAGAGGATGAAAAGAAAGTTAAGATGAAACATAATGAATTTGGCCTTGCTTTTGCCAGTTTTTAGAGTAGGGTTTGTTGTGAATATGGTAAAGATGACCAGACAAAGAAAAAAAAAGGTATATAAGAAATATATGCTATAGAAGCTGTACGACAAATAACCAAGAAAATACAACTCATTAGAAATGATTTGATCCTCCCACTCTTTTGAACTTTCCCCTGTTTGACAAGTGGGAAATCATGCAATATTTTCAATTTGTTCACATCATTTACTATCTTTGTTTTTACATATAGAGAAAACGCTCAGAATGGTCTTGTGCGATGCACCAACCAGATATGTATACCCAAATTAGTCCCACACACAGATACAAAAAAAACGACTTACTTACCAGAAGTAGGTTGGGTCAGCAGTAATAGGGTTAGAATGCTATAGACCAAACAAGATTATTAATGTTAAACACATAAAAGTTTGTTTAACAAATCAATATTGACCTTGAAAAAAGAATATGATATAATTCATCTGAAGCCCTAACCACGAAGGTCTTTATGGGAAAATGATAATATAAATTATATACAATATTGAACAAGGCCCTTTTGGCTAAAGAAACATTTGTGCTGTGTCTGTAACCGTATGGGTTTGTATTATTTTTGAAGAAATACACCGTGTTACTTGCGTTGTATTGCTTACTCAAAAATACATTTTCCCTTTTTCTTTTTTAAGAAATAAAATAAAAATACGTTATGTACATATATGTACATATTAGCCTAAAAGGTTTAACCCCTCATATTTTATGATATACCATCTGATTGATCGATTGATAGACTTTTTATACTTTACTTTACTTTACCTACATACCACTTTAATCTTATCCGTGCTACTAAATTTTCCCTTTCTTACTAAAAACTAAAAGTGCTCCATAGATACAATTCAGCTTCATCAAATAATATATTATTATTCTTAAATTTTTTTTCTAAAAAGAAAAAAAAAAAAAAGAAGCATAGACTGCAGTGTCAAATACTTTCTACATTCAATAAATATAAATTCCGAGTGTGGTAATGATGTATGCTTATGTAACTTGTATATTTATATATATGTGTATATGTTTTCTTTACCTATACGACTGTCCGGTAGGTAATCCCAAATCAGTATAAATACTTGTTTAATTATCACTATTGTCAATCGTATTTTTTCCTATTCTTTCTATTTAATAAAACTGGCTATATAAACCAATCCTATTGTCTTTAAAGTACTGCTGGTTTGTTACAGATATCAAGATTCTAAAATTTTATAAATCCAAATGGGATTCATTGTCATGCGAGGCATTTCATAAAAAGCATCTCACATTTGAGTTGAATGACTAGGCTCATTGGTTCTAAAATCACATTTTTGAGTCTTACTCGGAACATTTAACTTGATAAATAAATGACAAGAGCAGTAATGATAAAAACAAAGACACTAAGTGACATATATATATATATGCAGGCACAGATATTGTTGAACCATGACGTTGTTGTTAACGACTAGCGAGTTGTCATCAGATCTAAATGTAAAGCATTTTACTATTATAGAAAGAAAACATAGAGTATTTAACAAACCTCACTTTTGATACTGTAATACTTGAGAATTAAAGGTCATTCTTCATTCATTCACTCATGTTAACTTCTTGGTCAATAATAAAAAAAAAAAGTCATATCGGAAGACCGGAAGAGATCTCCGGCATAAATCCAGCCAGTCCGAAATTGGCGTTTGATGTCAAATTTGTGACTCGTTTGGTTCATGATACGCTTTATCATTATGCTGCAACTTTTTATTTTATTGGGCGAGTCGCTGTGTTTGTCGTGCGGCTATTAAACAAATTAATATGCAAGTAGAAAGATGCAAAAGACTTGATTATGTACATATATACATGTCCAAGCGATATTTGCTGCCAGCAACCACCAATTGTGCAATAAAATGCTCAACGATCTTATTGGTTTACGCATAATCAAAATGGAGTTCTCTAAAAAAAAAACCAGATACCCTAGTGAAGGTATTTCCTTTCTTCCGCCAGATTGATTTCATATACTGTAATCCAAACACTTTTTTTTTTGAAAGAAGATACCAGGATTACAGGTCCAATAGTTCGGTTGGAGATAAAAAAGATACCACCACTGGCTCATAAAAACGTTTTGCTTCTTTTAGCAGCAGAAGATTGACTAAACCAATAAACGAATACATAAGAACGATTTTTTTTAAAAAAAGGGTACCAAGATGATGATGGTAATTATATAGAGCATAATTAATAATTCTGACCACCCCTTCTTTTTGTTTGATATATATATATAAGATGTATGGTTATCATTTTAGTAGATAGAGGAAAGACCAAAAATGATATATGACAGACTACTGTCTTGAACACAGTGGTCAATTGTTGTAAAGAGACGTGATCAAAAAAGAATGAGAGGGCAAGAAGATTGCTGTAATTTGTAAATATATGATAAAGTATTTATTTATATAAATAGGGTTGGAGGTGGATATTTCAAATATTGGATTTAGCAATGGTCAATGCGACTATTCTAGTTATATATATGTATACATGTATGTATATAAAGGGATAAGACAAATTCATATGAATCAGTCGATAGTATTCCTAAACATTTTGATATACATATTGGCAAGGTGATTAATTTGTTTCTCTATAGAATATAACAAATGGTATTGAAGCAAATTTATAGGTAACAAGTGGACATTGATGTATTCTAGTAAGACCATCATTACTACCAAGTTCTCTTTATTTGTTAGGCACACAAAATAGCCAATAGTTCTGTGATTTGATTTTGCAATATAGCTGATCAATAGATATAGATCATCTTGGTTTATTTATAGTAGGAAACCTAAATCTTTATACAGCCATGAATATGACGATGAGAATAAGAATACGAGGAAGAAGTATAAAGAGGACCTGTTTAATTATGTAAAGTTTTATTGGGTTCGGTACACCAAGACTGGAATAAAATAAGAAGTGTATGTGCAAAGAGGTTTTCATTCTATTTGTGTAATCTAGACTAGACTATATTATATTTATATTATATTATATTATATTATTTTGTGCACAGTATACTATAGTGTTAGTGCAATAGTGTACAAGTAGGTGGGTGTGTTTCAATCTTAATTCCAGATATGGTGCTATAGTCAAGGGCCTGACATAATCAGGGTTATCCTGGGATAATCTTGGGACGACTTCAATTTTGGATTCACAAGCCACAAGGAAAACGCAGGAGAATTTCTAGGTAACCAAAAGATTCCTTTAGGATTTCGGACCATTTTCTTTTTGAACTTGTTTGTTTCTTCTGTTTGTGAATATTTTTTTGTACTTATTTTTGGAGTATTGGGTTTTGTTGTCGGGTCAAGAAACATGCCACATCCAAAGTAAGTAAGAAAATATATATAAAAAATATAAAATACAAAATACAAAAAAAAAGGCTCATGGAATCTTTTCTCTTTTTTTTTTTTTTTTTTAACTGGGAAAGCGGGTAGTGAATCCGTATTATTTTTTTTGAACCTATAGGATGAAGCCAATGAAAACCCTAATAAGAATATTATATGTATATAGATAGAATGATTTGATTGCAATCTTTTTTTTTTTTTTTTTTTTTGTTGAGGAATTCCTAGAACTGTCTTCCTCTCTTATACTTTGGCTGTCTTGATTTTTTTGGCCTCCTTTATTTGTTACAATTGCCTTGTTAAAGACATTTGTATTTATAAATATCTAAATATAATTATTTATGTATTGAAAATAAGAAGAAAAAGTACAAATCATCAGATTTCTGCACTTTTTTCTTTCATAAATAATAAAAATAATAATAAAAAGTACATGTAATTTTAATAAGGAAAATAAGCGATTTTCTTACTTTGCCCGAAATTTGCCATCTCACCAGCCAAATAGAACAAACAGGGTCGCCACCGTTTTATCATCACTATCAGAATTACCCTGAAAATCACTTTCTATTTCCTCGAGTTACATTGACTTTTTACTCATTCATACATTCATTTAATATGCACAGCAATACTCTTATTTATTTATTTTTATATATATATTTATCTGAATAATACAATAGAGTGATCTATGGCTTAGATGGGGATTACGATTAGGGTACATTGTCCGTATGAAAATATAAAACAATGATTCTTTGTTTGATCTCCCTATTGATTTGATTACTTGAATATTAGACATTTTGTACATTTTTGATAAATACAGTAGTGAGATGTTGTATCTATCTCTGGACATGCAAAATATAAAGAATAAAGTAGAACAATATAATCTATTGATTGAATCAGATGGGTAGAAACACTTCATATTTTTGTTGGCGTAAATTTGATAGATAGCCAGATAGCCAAATGCACTGTGTTAAGGGTAATAATAGAGAAGTTTCATAAAATTTTGTAATGAATTCTTTTTTTCTTTCTTTTTTGAACTGAAAAGTATCCTGATTTCACAAGAGGCACACAAAATAACGAGAGAGAAAGAATCTGGAACATTTACAGACTCAACCTCCACATTTGCACGTTTGTACCATTTTTTTTTATTTTTTATTTTTTTCTTTGAATCTTTAACTATTTAAACAGCTCAAAATTTGCATGAATTTTAATTTTTTTTCTCTTTCTTTTCTTCACTTAATTCTTTATCAATTTCCTTTACACATCATATAATTATTTTTTATATAAAATAAAACCCCAAAAACATATAGATAATAAAATAAAAAGGGTAACCAAGGCAACCAAACCAAACCAAGCCAAACCAAGCCAAACCACACCAAACAAAACAAAAACAACTCTAAATCAACAAAAACAACAAAAGATAATGTCTTCTCCAGACGATCACTTCATCATCCCTCAGGTCACTAGTGAAAACACCTTGTTTGAATTCAAAGACAAGAAGCCTTCTAGACAGGCCAGCAACGAAAACATGGATCCCGAATACTTCTTGCACCGTGCCAACCGCTTTGACAGCTACGACGAAGAAAAGGATGCCAACCCAACCCACGCTAGCCATCCCAATGGTTACCAGCCTGTCACTAGTGTCTATCCCACCGGAGATCCCAGAGGTCCCGCCGGTGATTGTCACATGGGAAACTTTGGTGCACTTGGTAAATATATATATATATTTATTTATTATTTTTCTTATGTATTAACTTTTTTTTTATTGTAGCCATCTTGTCTTTTGCCGTTGTTACTTCACTCTTGGCTACCAACAACCTGTTCTTGCCTGACAAGCCAAATAACATTATTTTCCCAACCGCATTAGTGTTTGGTGGTTTTGCTCAAGTTGTTGCTGGGTAATACATATTTAATATATCTCCATCGTTACTATTCATCAATATACTAATACTATTCCTTTCATAGATTCATGTGCTTTTTCCGTGGGAAAACATTCAATGGTACCCTGTTTGTGTCTTATGGTTCTTTCTGGCTGGGTAACGGAATGATGATGCACCCCGGACTCCATACTGCGTATGATGCCTATACTGATAAACACGATCTCGATATTGCCAATGCTTACTATCACTTTGTCTGGGCAATCTACACCATTCTCAATGTCGGCATCTCTATGAAGGTCCGGGGGGGAAACTTCTTGCTTACCTTTAACTTGTTCTTCGTATTCTGTACCCTGTTCCTCGAAGGCTTCTTCTATACTACCGGTCATATCGTCATTCTTCGAATCTCAGGTGTCACAGCCTATCTGGCAGCTATCGGTGCATTCTACTCGGGTGTGGTTGATATTTTGGAAGAACAAGGCGTAGAACTCCCAATAGGTGTCTACAAGAAGAAATAGAAGAGCTATTTTATATATATATAAAAAAAAATCAATTCAGAAAGACAATAGAAGTCCCATATATTATTTATTATCTTGTATAAAATAACACCTCACCAACCCACCTAACAACAACAACAATAATAATAATAATAATAATAATAATGTTAAATATTAAACAATGTTAAATAATGTCAAATAGCAAAATAACCATAGCAACAAATAACAACAACAGCAATAATAATAATAACTATTATCAATTTAGAGTTCACTTTATATTTTATTTGATATCTTTCCTTACTTCCTTCTTTGTCTTGTTTTTTCTTGTATTTTTATATTTTTATATATTTCAAACATTCAAATTAAACTACACCAAAAAAAACTCTCCACTTTTTCCAGCTTTTTTTTTGATTTATTTATTTATTTGGTCCGTGTCACTTATAGTATATATATATAATATATAATATATAATATATATATTATTAATCAATTCAATTCAATTCACTTCAATTCACTTCAATTCAATTCAACAATTTTATTTTTATTTATTTTATTTTTTTAATTGAATTCAATTGAATTCAGCAAGATTCATTCTCATCTTTAAATGTTGGGTCTACTTGTGTTCTGCTTATCCAACTTTGGAGAACATCGTCTAAATCAACAGAATCCTGACTAGATCGACGACGTGTGGGAAAAATAAAACTATCGGCCTCCACTTCACTATCGTCATCTAGGTCATCAAGATCATCAATATCTAGACCATTGTTACTACTATTTTTCTTGCTGCTGTTGGGTGTACTGGTCGCATTTAGATCATTTGCTTCCAAGGGGTTCTCAATCGTTATATTCAAGTCAGATAACCGGCGAATATCAACACCCGAAGGCATCAAATGGAAATTGCGTCGATTTTGTAACTATAAAAAAATATTTATAAATATATAGTTTTCTTGTTGTTGTTATTGTTGTAACATATGTCTTTATCTCCACACGCACATGCACACATAAGCGCGCGCGCGTGTATAAAGATGGGGTTGAAGGAGAGTGAATTATTATTATTATTATTACTATTAGCTTAAAATTATAGCCTTTTGATTTTTATTCCAAGCCCAAAAAAGATATTATATATGTATAAAGAAGGGAATTTGTATTACACTAAATACATGTATTTTAAATATACAGGAAAACTTACTGATTGTAGGTCTTTCTCTAGTCGTTGCTTTAAATCCTCAAAACCATAAAGACATTCATGAATCAGGTCGGCAAAACCTGCGGGTTGTTCAAACGCGGGGTCAAATAGATAAGACGATTAATACACATATAATATTTTTATAATAGCTTTTGAAGTATATCTTTCTTTGTTTTGTGCGACTTTCAAACTTACAAGATTGCCTAAAGAAATCTAAATCTCCTTGATCCGAATCAGAGTCATTTATTTCTCCATCTTGATTGGCACTACCACTGCGAGTATGATGGTCATTATACTTTTGGTTGTCGAAATCTCGGATTCCTTTCCAGCCATCTCCAAGATCAACTCCAGCAGCATCGTCATCTTCTTCTTCTTCTTCCTCCTCGTCTTCTGGCTCAACAGAGAGCAACGATGAAGGCGAGGATGATAAGAGCGTTTTTTGTTGGTGCAAGGCACTCTTTCCATCATCTTTGGTATTGTTAGTGTCGATTACTGATTGGATTCCGCTTTCAAACCCAACCACTCGTTCAAGTGTCTCCTCCACATCATCGTCAATCGTGTCGATAAACCCGTGCACTGGGCCTGGCGAAACCCTCACATCATAGTACACAAAGATCTGGTCCTCAAAATCAACGTAGAACAAACACGGCACATTGTGCCCCGGCGCAACAGCGTACAGCCCGGCCGTAAAAGCACATACTCTGCCCTCAAAAGCAAACTTGACAAGCTGAAACTTTACTGCATTTTTATAGGTTTATAGACTTAGATTGTCAAAGGCGTTGAAAGTAATTATAATCATGATTCTTACCTTTCAAGTCTTTGTCTTTGTCTTTGTCTTTATCGTCGCTTGGATTTTGACCTTGATTTTCTTTTTCTTTTTCGTTTTCAATTCGTTTACTCCAGTCAATAAGGTATGTCACTCCATTCCAGGCACAGGCAACAAACAGCTCGCCTTGAGGTCCATCTCTTTCGTCAGCGCCCTCGCTCCATGAACTATCCGAATCATAGAGACTTGTCGAATCTAGGCTATTTCCCGATAGTCCTTCAGCAGTAGATTCACTAAGCGTATCATCACTATCACTCTCACTTTCGCTACTCTCGTCACCACTATTATGATCATGATTGATGTTGTTTCTGTTGACAAAGTCACTATCATCATCAGCATTATTATTATTATTATTATTATTGTTATCTTCGATTTCCATCTCAATATCAATATCAATATTGTCTTCTGAATTATCGTCAATGATTCCAAATACATCCTCATCATTATCGTTATCGTCATAATCACTAGAATTATTATGGTTAAAGCATGATCTCTATTGTACAATAGACAATGATAATAAAAGAAGTACCTCGTAAATGTAGCAAGTGAATTGTCTTCTCTGCTATTGTTCACATTGCCGTGTTCGGTTGGGTTGGAAGTAACCAGTGATAGTCTAGACGATGTGCTGATGATTGGTGAATTTGAATTGGAAAATTCGGTGCCTCGATTAGTAGATCCTCTTCTTTCTCCATTTGAAGACGAAATCGATCCACCGGCTCCATTAGATATTGCTCCTAATGTTTGATGTTGTGATAGCAATGATGTTGATGTTGTCATAGCAGTGTTGGCTGTCTGGTGGGTACTACCAGACGGCTGACGATGAAGTGGAATGTCTTGATGGTTAATGTTTTCTCTCGTATGATGGCGTTGTTGTTGTTGCTTCTGGCCTGCACTTTCACGAGTCTGTGCAGGACGTAAAGCCTTTTCGGGTCCATAAGCCGCGGCAGACACATCAAGAGTGGCCAGACTAAATAGTTTATGGGTCACCAATAGCTCGCACTGAGAAGATGTTTTGGTACGAAGGTCATAGATAGTAAACTTTCCTATTAAATTAAATCAAATTAGATTAGATTAAATTAAATTAAATTAAATTAAATTATTTTTTTATAAAAAAAATTAAAATAAAATAAAATTTGAAATCTTTACCGTCCATGCCCAGCATGCCCAATTCTGTTCCCAGTCCATCATCTCTAGGATCTCCGTTACTAGAAGACACGGGGAACGAAGACGACGACAAGGACGAGAGTGAAGTAGAGGATGTAGTATTAGGAATCGTAGCACCATGGCTGGGACCGTGATTGGGACCGTGCTTAGGACCATTATTGTTTGGTGTCGAATAAACACGCCGTTTTCCTACCACAATCTCGGTCGCCACTGCATTTTCCTCGTCTCCAACCATGTCGTCACCGTCCACAATTGGCCAGTTCTGAACCACATAGTTGGATCGTCTGATTTCATTCCCTGCCACGTCCCTAATCTTGCCAAGGTCGCTATCGTCCTTACTGACCAAGATGTTCTCAGACTCTACTAGCTCAGCCGGCAGCAGTAACGCCCGGTTGCTTCGCTGCAGCAGGGTTCGGATGGTCTTGGTTGCCTTTTTCAGGTTGAGAAACGGGCTTTGCTGGTTGTTGGTCGTACTGGGTTTTGGAGTAGTTACAGACTTATCTTGCTCTGTTTGATTTTGATTTTGGTCTGCTAACAATAATAATATCTCACTCGTGCTGGCATCTTTCATTTCCGTTGGTTTGGGAACGGGAATGCCGGGAGTACTGGAAATACTGGGATTACCGGGAATACTGGGCGCTGTGGCAGTTGCAGTGGCAGTTGATATCGAAGTGGAGGTGGAAGTAGAAGTGGACGAGGGTGCATTGGGTACATTGGATAAGGTGGGAACACTGGATAAAGTAGGTACAGCTGGTGTAGACAAAGACACGGGTGTAGGTGTGGGTACAGTAGCTGTAGCTGTAGCTGTAGCTGTAGTTGTGGATGTAGTTGATGTTGATGTTGATGTTGATGCAGATACGGATGCGGGTGTGGGTATGGGTGTGGGTGTGGGTGCGTTGTCTTGTAATTGGTTGCTGTTGTTCGCCTGAGAATTACTGTCTGCAGACCTAAAGTGCTTTGGCTTGCCATTGAACGTGTTTGGCGATGATTGCGGTGTAAAGTCACGATTGAACCTGTTGCCTAGCTTATCAATGATCGTGAATGTATTTCCTGGTTGGGCTACCAGCAAGATAGGCTCATCTGGTCGGTCGGGATGATTTGTGGTTGACAAAGAGGTGATCTTTTGTTTTTAAAGTTTAAGTTTATTACAAATTTTATATATATATATATACAAAATAAAAATAAAAATGTTCTTTTTCCTTCTTTATTTCCTTCTTTATATTTCTTTATTTTACATGTGCAAATTGTCATGGCAACAGAAATAATATGTTTTGTGTGATGTGGCTATCTTTCAACAAATCAACTAATCTATCAAATCTATCAAATCTATCAAATATATAGTCTATAGCTATTTTAATAGAATTATATATTTTTTCTTTTGACTTACTTGTCCATCGAATATCCACATGTCTTTGTCTTTGAGTATGCCTCGTTCTTGATCTGTCTTGAAAGTCGAGCTTTTCAATGGTTGCTTGGCTAGTTCGGGGTCCTTTGGGTTACCCTTGTTCGTATTATTATCTTGCGCTTCTTCCTCTTCCTCTTTTAGAACAGGCCGACCGGCCTTGGACCACCCCATTCCTTTGATCAGCACACTTTGCTTGGAGTCCTTGGCATCCAAAGGTTTTGGTTTCGGTCTCGGTTTGTTTTTTTCTTTTGATCCAGATAATACCGATAATGATGATTGAAAAGTAGAACTAACTGTATGAGATGATTGTTGCTGTTGAGGTTGAGGTTGAGATAGGCTGACATTAATAGTACCATGGTTGTTGTTGTTATTTGAAGATCCTGCTGAAGTAGAGGCCGATCCTTGGGCAGATGGTGTTACATTTCTGTGAGACATTGAAG